CATTGTTGCACATTTTTCTCCCTGACCCCCTGGTCAACTTTTTGTCTTTGTTTGTTTGTTTTAACTTTCTGTCTTGGGGAAAAAAATTCTTTCATTGTTAAAATAGGTCCGTCTCCCGACCCCAGTCCACTTTACTATGCAGTTCTTATTCTGGACTCTTGTCATGCCAATAATACCCAATCATATATTCCTTTTTCAATGCCATGTACATTATTTATCCCCTCTTTTCTAAATTTCCCCCCAACCTCCATGTCAGTCCTGTTTTATAACAGTGGTATTATGAGTTCTTTGTCTATTTTGTGACTGAGATAATTCATTCAGCATAATGTCCTCCAGGGTCACCCATTTTGTATAATATTTCATGAGTTCTTTGTTTTTCAGTGCTGCATGATATTTTATTGTGTGAATATACCACAGCTTCTCTATCCATTTGTTTGTTGATGGACCCTTGGGTTGTTGAAGACCTGTCTTCCTGAGATGTCTCTGGTGGGTTTGACCTGTAGTTTTTTTAATAGTGGTAACATCCTTAACTGTTTACATCACCCAAGGATCCTTTTAAACCTTATCATTGTAAGGTGCTGTTGAGGCAACTATGACTTACAGTGACCCTACGATAAACACGTTAGAACTTTGTCCCTGTTCAAGCCCATTGTTGTAATCACGGTGTTTCCTTGAGAGTCTTCTCTGTTGTACTAACTTTGCTTTTTGAATCATGATGTCTTTTTCAAGGACTTACTTTCCTAAAGGATATGCTTGTTTAAATGAGAAATCATAGGATAAGAATCATACCTTTTTAATTGTTTTTTTTCTTCTCTTCTTTTTTTAACAGTGCCCAAAACAGTACAATTTGCAGCTATGGATTTTTTTGTTTGTTTTTACTTAACAAGCAAAATCTTGTATCTTAATATCTGATTCCTGATAACTAAGATTATTTTGGGCGTATTGCTAGGAGAGGCTATTTCTTCGAGAGGGACATTGTGCTTGGAAAGACAGAGAGGGTCAGTAAAGGAGAAGACCCTTAACCAGGTAGATTGACATAGTAACTGCCTCTGTGGGTTCTAGTGTGTAAGGAAGTATGATTCAGATCTGTTGTTCATGAGGTCGCTGTGGGTTGTACTGAATTTGACGGCACTTCATAACAAGAAACTAGTTGTAGCTAGAGAGTAAGTTTACACCTTTTCAGTTCTTGAGCTGAATTTCCTCTGGCCTCTGAATTTTCTCCTTGGCCACTATTTCTGATAATTGGTAGTTAAATTATTAAAATGTGTACATGCTTGTGAGTTGTTGTTTCCAAATTTTACTTACCTTTTTTTCCGTCAGTTGTTTGTATTGGAAACTCAGAATATAAATATGTTTATTGTTGTTGCTAAGTGTTGTCAAATCAGTTCAGAATGATTCCATCTACAGCAGAATAAAACCTTGTCCCGTCCTGCACTGTCTTCATAACCGCTGCTTTGCTAACGCCCATTCTTGCAACCACTGTACCAGTTCATCTTGTAGACTTAAAGTACTGCTTGGTCTGAAAAGTATTTAAGAATACCTGAAGGGAACTCTAGTGGCCTAGTGGCAGGAAGCTGCACTGCAATCCCAAAGGCATGCAGTTTGAATCCACCAGATGCTTTGCTGGAGAAGGAGGGACAGTCCTCTGCCAGTCGGATCCAATTTGAAGGCACATAACAAGTAAAAAAAAAAGAATATTTGAATTATTTTTTATAGTAAAAGTTTGCTTTCAACAGTACCTAGAAGAGGAGCGTTTTAATTTTTTTCTTTTTACGTCTATTCCCTCTCCTAGCTTTTCCTTCATCAGTCATTACCTTTTTTTACATATTGGAATTTTCATCTCTTCAAAGTTTGTATTTGTAACATGTTTGTATAGCTCAGATTATAATTACCATACTGAAATATAATTATTTCAGATTTGAGTCAGTGGTGAGAATGAAAGCCATCTGGTGTCATTACTAAATCCAATTTTTCTTTTACTCTGAACTTCTGTGATAGCTAGCTTATATCTGGAATAGTGACTTAGTTACAAATTAGAATTCTTTTTTGTCAATATTTTAAAATTACATTTGGTCCAAATAATAATGCTAATAGTTACACCAAACATCTTAGATTTTGAAACATTTTCCTAAATAGCAAATAGTTTAGCTCTTACAATAGCCTGAAGTAACTGGTAAGGAAAGTAACAGAAAAAGAAACAGAGGTTCAGGTAGAATGTTTACCAAAAGGTCACTCTGCTAATTTAAAAAAAAAAAAAACCACAAAAGAAACACAGTTGGTATCAGAAACCTCATACTTAGAAAAGTTGTATTCCCAAACTCTTTCACAATGAAGTCATAGTCTCCTAGCTTTTCATGTGATCCTCTTCAAAAAGTTAAACATGAAAAAGAAGCACATTCCTGTCATCTACTACATTACTTCCTCTTTGTTATTCTGCCTGAAGTTTTCAAAAAATCAATTTTTAAAACTCATTCAGGATAAAAGCTAAAGACTTAGAATGGCTTCCTCAGGCTCCCATCTACCTCTCCAGCTTCATCTCCTACTACTTTTTTCCTTAATCATTGCATCCCCTACACTGGTACAGGAGGAGATTGCACCTCTGGGATTGCATCATAGCTTCTTGCCAGAAGGCCACCAGGGCTTATTGGAAGCCAATACTAAATATTTGTAGTAAACTGAATTCTGTTTCAGGATGGAATTCACCCTGAGGCAGTAAGGCAGTCCTTAAGGGTTTACCAAATTCTTGCATTTGCTGGCCCCTCCCTCCAGAGTCTAGGGGAAGGTTTTCAATAGAGTTTGGCTTCACTTTCATTGAATTCTCTTTGTGATTTACTTCCTAATAACTTTCAATAAAGATAAAAGGAATCGCAGGTCAGGGTCTCTAGAACTTCTGGGCCCCTGTCTTTAATCTCTGTTTTATCTCATTCCTGGCTGGCTGTCTCATTATTAATAATTATAAAAATACCCTCGGTCCACAAGAAGGGCTCTCTTGAATCTTCTAAATGTTGCAAGGACAGTTTATATGAAACTGTCTTTCAATGACACCTTCCTAATTACCTTATAAAGGAGGTCTAGTGGGCTAATCCTTAAGGAGTTGCACTGCTTACTCAATGGTAGAATCTTCCTTGTGGTTTGAATTCACCAGTGCCTCCAACGGAGAAAGATAGGTGGTCTCCTCCTATGTGATTTACAGCCTCTGAACACTTGGCTGGAAAGTCAGCTATGAGTCACTTCTGACTATGTTTTTGAGTTTTTGTTCTAACTACTGAGGAGGACCTGAAGCACTTGTTGCAGAGGGTCAAGGACTGCAGCCTTCAGTATGGATTGAGGCTCAGTGTCAAGAAGACAAAGATTCTCACCACTGAATGAATTGGCAGCATCAGGATGGATGGTGAAAGATTGAGATTGTTCACAGCTTTAGTTTGCTTGGCTCCACAGTCAACACTCTTGGCACCAGCAGCCAGGAAATTAAAAGACATATTGCAATGGGAAAGTCTGTTGTTAGGGACCTCTCCAAAGTACTGAAGAGCAATGGTGTCTCTCTGGAGACCAAGGTGTGTCTGATACAGGCCATGGTCTTTGCCATCACTTGTTATGCATCAGAGAGTTAGACAATGACTAGGGAGGATAGAAGGATAATTAATGCCTTTGAGCTGTGGTGCTGGAGAAGAGTGTTGAGGGTACCATGGACTGCCAAGAAAACAAATAGGTTCATCCTGGAGAGGGCTAAACTGGGCTGCTCCTTGGAGGCAAGGATTCTGAGGCTTCATCTGACATATTTTGGACATGTTGTAAGGAGAGACCGGTCCTTGGAGAGGGACATCATGCTTGGGAGGGTGGAGGGATGGCGCAAGAGGGGAAGACCCTCTATGAGGTGGATTGATTCAGTGACTGGGGTAATTGGGATGGGTATACCAGAGACAGTGCGATTGGCACAGGACAGAGCAGGGTTTAGGGCTGTTATACATAGGGTCGCTATGAGTTGCAAACGACTCAATGGCACATAACAACAATATGTAGAGGGACCTATTGTCTGGTGGTAAGGATTATCAACTCAAAGGCATGTGGTTTGAATCCACCAGCTGCTCCACAAGAGAGAGATGAGCAGTATCTTCCTGTGTGATTTCCTGCCTTTGAAACCCTGCTGGAAGGTTAGCTGTGACTCAGATCCGACTAGATGGTACATAACAACATCATCCGATATAGAATATAAACTCTCCCACTCCCACTGCATTTCCTTGCCATTTCTTTCTCTCTTTAGCAATTATTTCCATATTTTTAAAGTTTTTCTATCATTTCTGCCACAACTAGAATATAAGCTCTATGAAGGCAGACTTTTTCCTGTTTGTTGCTGTATTTATAATCTCGGAAACAGCTCCTGTATATAATAGATAATAAATACTTGTTAAATAAATAAATGCATGAATCTCAGGAAGACCAGAAGATTTTATGGATTGACAAGTGGAGATAACTTTCTAGATGGAAATTTTGTATACTTTTTTCCTCAAGAATTTTATACTTTACTAAGTTTATTATTTTCTATAGTGAATATTTTATTACTTTGTTTTGAAGTAATCACAGAGCACACATCATGTGATTTCCTGGAGTGAGGCAATATAATTACAAAGTACTTAGTACCTATAAAGTGTTTTTTCTATTCTAGAAACACTTAATTGAAAAAGTAAATGATATACATAGTAATTTTAATAACACTCTTCTGTCCTTGGAGTTGGTGGATATGAACCGCTAACCTTTTGATCAGCAGAGCAACATGTAAGACATTACACTGCCAAAGTTCCTTGTCACCTGGCACAGCACACATTTAATAAATGTTTATGAAGTGGACTTAAAATCCTCACCTTGAGTTAGTTATAGCAGCTTAAAGTTGAACTTCTTTACTGTGTGTATTTATTAAAGATAAATTACCGAGCTTTCATGTATCATTCTTTTGTTTTTCACTTGTTTGTGTTTTTTTTTAACCCCCCTCCCTACTCTTCTAGTTTGGAGCTAATCAAAGAGCCTGTTTCCACAAAATGTGATCACGTATTTTGCAAGTAAGTTTGAGTATTTCACATGGCTTCCATTTTTAGCTTTTTTGTTTGTCATTCATAAAAAAGAAAGCTCTAACTTTATAGAAGCCATGACTTTTAGAAGAAGTAATCAACCTTAATCTCTTTCACTCTGCCTGAGAGAATATCTACGAATTTATTATAGTTCCTTCCAAAGTATTGGCAGAAAATACATTCCAAACAGCTGTTGGATTTTGTGTCCTTGGGTCAAAGTAAACTGCAGACATTTGAGAAATAAGCAAATTATCCTTCAGTCTTCTTAATCTTTCTGTTCACATCTGCATTTTCTGCCTTTTCCTTCTAACATTTGTTGTTTGCTTGCCTATGACTTTGAAAAGATAGAAAAATACCTGATATAATCCTATTTTCAAACTAATTCATTCCTCTTAGTGCATCAAGTTATATTTACATATTTTAGAATTTTGTCCTTTGAAATTATCTTTGTTTCTTAATGGAAGAATTTCAGAAAATGTGTGGACGAGATAGGGGCTTTCTTCCTACAAGGTTAAATTAGAATCTAATTTTTTCCTAATTGCCATCCTAACTTCCTTTTAAGCTTTTTTTTTGTTTTTAAGTTGGAAAAGTAAACCATGTGCGTAATACAAGCACAAACAGATGTATAATACAAAATACATTTCCCTGCTGCCCTCATGCATGTGGTTTTGAATGCAAATTAATTTCAAATTGAACATTTTAGGAAATCTGTGGAAACACAAATGAATTCTTCAATTAAAAAATTTCTAAAAGGATACATATGAGTATATTTTATTTTGGGTTTTTTTCTGTCTTCTTTCTGTGGAATCTTTATGAATAACCAGTGGGAACAATATATCTTTTGTTCATAAAGAAAGCTAATCCGTCAAAATATATTGTGTTCTTCAAGTCTTCTTCTTTTTTTTTTCTTCAAGTCTTCTTAGCCTTTATTGCTGGGTGGTCTGAGACAATAAATATTTTAAGTCCAGAGCCATACCCAAAGCACAAACCATACCAAACACAACTGCTGTCCAGTTGATTTTGACCCAGAACTATCATACAGAACAGAATAGAATTGCCCAGAGTGTTACCAAAAGTATTAATATTTATGGAAACAGACTGCCAGATCCTTTTCCTCTGGAGCAGCCAACAGATGAGTTCAAACAGCATCATCAGAGTTCCTTTCCAGAAGCCCAGGTGTCTGGAAAAACTGAAACCTTCATCCTTAAACTTCGAAGTGAGCTGCTTTTTTGTGCTAGGCAAAATGTGGGAAATGGACTCATTTTGACCCATTTTGGTAAGTAGTCCAGTACTTAACCACAGTGCCACTCCCAAGGAGAAAGGTCAGTAACTCCTCCTGGGGAGAAAAAGATGGAAGTCTTTTTACATAAACATGTACAGTCATGGGAACACTATGGGAAGTTCTTGTCCTGTAAGGTTGCTATGAGTCATAAGCAATTTGATGGCAGTGAGGTTTCTGAATTTAGAGGATATGAAATAGCATCTGTCTCATTCTAATTTTGTTTTGTAATTTCATAATAACAAATGATGTTTTTCATGTGTTTTTTTATTTCTTGTGTTTATTAGCCATTTTTGTATCCCCTTTGAGAAGTATTCAAAGCCTTTGCTTATTTTATTAGTTAGTTGTCTTTTAGTATTTTCTATCACAGTAATTCTTGATACATGAAGAACTATATACAGGTTCCTTATCAGGTATATGGTTTGCGATTTTTCTCTCATTCTGTAAAGTGTTGTTTCAATATCTTTTGTAGTATCATTTGCAGCACAGAAGTTTTTAATTTTGATGTAATTCTATTTATTGTTTTCTTTTTGCTTGTGCTTTTGGTTTCATACGGAAGAAACTATTGGGTGGGGGAAAGAAACTGTTGCCTAACCCAGGTTCATAAAGATTAATAGTTTTAATTTTTAACCTTTAAATTTATGATCTTTTTAATTTTTGCATGAGGTAAGAGTCTAACTTTGCTCTTTCGCAGATGGATAAGCAGTTGTCCCAGCACCATTTGTTAAAAAGACTATTACCCATTTAATTGTCTTGGCATTCATGTGGTGAATCAATTAATCATTGACCAATTGACAGTTAACCAGATTGATGGGCTTAGTTCTGGACTCTCAATTCTATGCCATTGATCAATATGTTTATCCTTATGCCAGCACCAAATGTTCTTAATTATTACTTTAGCTTTGTAGGAAAAGATTGAGTTTTTAATGTAATTAAAATAATTTCATATAATACTTAGCATTTATGTCAGATTATGCAAGATGAAAGAATTATTAATATATCAATTAGTATGTCATATTAACTTTTTCATACATTTCATTTTATTCTGCCAGTAAGCTATAATAAGTTCAGTTTTCATCGATCATTGACTACCTAGTGTGGTTTTCTGCTTTTGCAGCATCTAAAAACAATTAGAAAAAGTAATTTGTTGTAATATACCTACCATTATCTTTAAAATGATTTTTTTAATGATTTCTTAAGAGCAAGTATGAAATTATCTTTTCATGACAATGTTTATTTTGAATATTTTTCTCTATAAAATAACTTGAATTGTTCTTTTCTTTATAATTTATAGATTTTGTATGCTGAAACTTCTCAACCAAAAGAAAGGGCCTTCACAATGTCCTTTGTGTAAGAATGATATAACCAAAAGGTACATATAATCAGGGAAGTGACAGGAAACAACAGCAGCAGCATAAAATAGACATTCTTTAATGTCATAACTTGTGTTTTTATCAAAACTTCCATCAATAGAAATGTGTATAAAATTTATATTTTGCAGACAGTAAATTATTTCTAAAAAGGTAAATATACTTAGGTAAAAAGAAATAAAATGAAGAAAAATGAAAACAAGATGAGTGGATAGAATGGTTGGAACATCTTGTAAAATTATTAGTATTGTATTCGTTTTTGCTAAGGTTTCTGCATAATGTTGTTGTTGTTATGTGCCATTGAGTCGCTTGCGACTCATAGTGACCCTATGTATAGCAGCCCTAAACCCTGCTCTATCCTGTGCCAGTCGCACTGCCTCTGACACACCCATCCCGATTACCCCAGTCACTGAATCAGTCCTCCTCATAGAGGGTCTTCCTCTCTTGTGCGCCCTCCCAAGCATGATGTCCCTCTCCAAGGACCAGTCTCTCCTTACAACATGTCCAAAGTATGTCAGACAAAGCCCCAGAATCCTTGCCTCCAAGGAGCAGCCTGGTTTAACCTTCTCCAGGATGAATCTGTTTTCTTGGCAGTCCATGGTACCTTCAATACTCTTCTTCAGCACCACAGCTCAAAGGCATCAATTCTCCTTCTATCCTCCCTAGTCATTGTAAGAACTTATATTATTTAATTATTACAACTTGATTACATTATTATTAAATTATTTCAACTTATTGCTTTAGTAAGAGAACACCAGCTGTTATGGCCACTTATGTCCTCTCTCTCTGCCGTCTGTCTATCCTGCCAGAATGTAAGTTCTGTTACAGCAATGTCTTTGTCTCAGTTAGTATTCTATTGTCAGTGTTTGGAACACAGCACGTACACAAATAATTAAATGAGTGATCTTTTCCTACAATTTTCTCAGCCACATCTTTTGGATCTATATTGTCAAAATCTAAACATCTGACAGAACCCTCTGACAGAACTAAAAATGGGAAGGTTAGGCAGTTCATTTATTTGGAATAGTGTGTTGTTCGTGCAACATTCTTTAAAAAGGGAGTAATAGCTTCCTCTCAAGTATATCTCTTAAACAATTCAATTTCAGAAGCCTACAAGAAAGCACAAGATTTAGTCAACTTGTTGAAGAGTTATTGAAAATCATTCAAGCTTTTGAACTTGACACAGGATTACAGTGTAAGTGTTACATAGTCCCAGAGGTCAATGCTCAGGTGGCTCTCCATTGAAACTTGAGAAGTTTGCACAATTATTTTCTATAAGTAGGTGATAAGTCCTGTTCATTTAGGTCCATTTTAGCTCTTATGTCTGTAATTGAGGAGCTCTGGGCAGTGGATTAAATTAGTGGACTGTTAACTAACAGGTTAGTGGTTCAGAGCCACCGGCTGCTTAATGGGAGAAAGATGATACAGTCTGTTCTCATAAAGATATGCATCCTGGGAAACTCTTCGGGGTAGTTCTCTGTCCTCTAGGGTTACAGTCAACACAAAGACAGTGGTATCAATAATTGACTTAAGAAAGAAGGAAATAATCTGTACTGATCTCAGTGCTAATGCACATATTCTACATTTTAACATGTTTAAAATTGGAAGAATTTTACCACTGACAGTATGTCATTGTTTAAGTTGATGTCTTTTCTTTCTTAGGGATACAGAAAATAATGGTGCCTTGTATGCCTTTAGTATTAGATTCAAGATGGCCTTAATCAGCAAATTTGTTAGTATTACTATAGGAGGGAAAAGAAATAGAAATTACAATGACTGTTTGTTTATTTCTTAGAAGTAAAATTTCCAAAGTTGATTTAAACCAAGTTTAAGATAACTAGAATGTATATCTTAATATAGCAACTAACATACATAGAATTTGTCTCGGTTTTCTTAATTATAACTAGTAATTCTTTTTTTAAGTATGATAATGTTTTCTCTCATAATTCAACAGTTGCAAACAGCTATAACTTTTCAAAAAAGCAAACTAAGTCTCCTGAGCATGTGAAAGAGGAGGTTTCTATCATCCAGAGTATGGGCTACCGAAACCGTGTCAAAAGACTTCGACAAAGTGAACCTGAAAAGCCTACCTTGGTAAAGCCACTTTCATTTATTCTGGCCACATCTCTTAATTGAGCATTGTGAGGTAGTAAGTGTGTAGCACACTCAGTGACTTAAATAGTCAGTTAAGAAAATAAGATGACAAAATAAGTGTGTGACAAGTGTTTGAAAAATGAAGGGAAGGTTGATGTAAGTGGTAAGGTCAAGAGATGCCTTAAGGGCCCGTTTCCTGTTGGGTTATGTGCTCTGCTTGTCTTAACACAGCCATCAGATCACTGTTGCCCTTAGATATGTTGATTTTTAAAACAACCACATTAGGGTAATTCTTCTGGCATGGAGAAGTGTCTTCTATTTGCTGTTTTCTGAAAAGTTGCTTGGAAAAATAAAAAGCTGCTCTTAATATTTGGAAATTATTTTAACCTAAAAAGTGTAATTTTCAAGGAAAACACAATCATTTGTGCTGTTGTCCCATATATAATGGAAATATTAAAAATAATAGCTTTCACAGCACCAGGGATAAAAAGGAAGAAGAAAAGTTTTGGCAAATGTTCTTAAGAATACTAGATTTTTATTGTCTTTACTTACTCTTTCTAAAGATTCTGTTGCCAATCCTGGTATTAGAGGCAACTGTAAGTGATTGCTAGATGAATCTCTGTAGTATAAAGTATTAGATTTAAAATGGTTTTACAAATACTTCAAATAAACTGACAAAATAATACATTTAGAGAAATTTAGAACAGAAAGAGGAAAAAAGATTCAAATCACACAAGACCCAGACATACAACTTGTCAGGCTTCTTTTCCAGATGTTATCTAAATTTTAGTTAATTGATTAGGACTATATATAAAAATTTGTTGACTATTCTTTACTATACTGTTTATCAGGAAACTGGTCTTGGTGTCCAGCTCTCTAATTTTGGAACTGTGGCATCTCTGAAGTCAAAGCAACAGCTGCAACTTCAAAATAAGTCTGTATACATTAAATTAGGTAAGAGATTCAGATTTTGTAGGTTAGAATAATAGTTACTGATTGTCTTGTCTGCCAATCTTACCAAAAATTTTGGTCATAATTTATTATATGTGGCACAGGAGAGTTGGGAAAGTAATAACAAAATTACTTTACTAGTTCTATAAATAAATAACCTAACTTTATAAAAGAAGCAAAAGAAAAGATGTCTAAATATAGGAATGTATAAATGCAGTTATCAAGTCATTTGGAAATAGGCGGTCCAACAGCATCTTGAAGGCTTAGATAAATGATACAAGAGTAGAAATCCGAGGTTCTATCGCTCAGCCATGGCCAAAATTAAGGCTCAGGACCTTCGCAGCAAGAAGAAGGAGGAGCTGTTAAAACAGCTGGACATCTGAAGGTGGAGCTTTCCCAGCTGCATGTCGCCAAAGTGACAGGCAGTGCGGCTTCTAAGTTCTCCAAAATCCGAGTTGTCCAAAAATCCATTGCCCATGTTGTCACTGTTATTAACCAGACTCAGAAGGAGAACCTCAGAAAAGACTATAAGGGCAAGAAGTACAAACCACTGAATCTGTGGCCCAAGAAAACACGTGCCATGCACCGGAGGCTCAACAAGTATGAGGAGAACCTGAAGACCAAGAAGCAACAGCAAAAAGAGCGCCTGTATCCACTGCAGAAATATGCAGTCAAGGCCTGAATTTCATAAATAAATAAAACACAAAACTAAAAAAAAAAAAAAAAAAGAGAGTAGAAATCCTTTGTAGAAAAGCTAAACTGAGAATTGAAACAGGTCTTTCTGATTGTCTTCTCACTAATATGTTGAGAATTGAAGAATCTATTAATTTATTTTCTCAAACTCACTAGTGTTTACTGTAACACTGAATTTTATTGATATTACTCTTTTTTTTATTGTATTATTTTTTATGTGTACCGTCAAATCAGATCTGACTGGTACAGGAGAGGATTGCCCCCTCCTTCTCTAGCAGAGCATCTGGTGGATTTGAACTGCCTACCTCTGGGATTGCAGTGCAGCGTCTTGCCACTAGGCCACCAGAGCTCCCTTGCTATTACTCTTGAGACTAAATTTCTAGGCAACAGGTATTATGTCATAAAAATAATGAAAATAATTATAATAGCTGACATTTAGGAACACTTTCTAAGCTCAGACACTGTTAGGTACTCATGTAACTCAAAATACATGATAGACCTCTATGGCTATTACTGTTTTACTGTACTCACTGGACAGTTGAGGAAATTGATATGCAGACATTTTTTTCAAAATTATAAAACTAGTAAGTAGCAGCACTAAGATTCAAATCTAAGAAATCTAACTTCAGAGCCAATACTTTAAGTACTTCTCTGTACTGCCTGATATATCTATTGCTGTACCTGTCACATAGTTCGGTACTTAGTAAATATCTTTTGGTAACACTTTATTTTAGGGTTGGTTTGTTTGTTTGCTTAAAAAAAGCTTCTTACTGATTTGGTTTTTGGGGGTATTTGGGGGTTTATTTTAGGATCTGATTCTTCTGAAGAAACAGTTAATAAAGCAAGTCGTTGCAGGTAAGTCAAAGAAAGCCTTTGTGAAGCTAGTATCATGTATCAGGCTGTGTGTTAAGGAACGTTTTCTAGGCTGCAATCAAGGCATTGTAGGAGACCTTGGAAATCATTTGTTTTAATCTTGTCATTTGAGAACTGAGGAAATACCTTTTTATTTGTTTACTTTATTAGTAATACCCACAGAAATTTAAGGTCACAGGCACACGCTACACAGAGTTACTTACAGCAGATGGTTCTTTAGGTCCTCCATTTTTTCACACTGACATAGAAATGGCTGACAGTTTTATTTCTTTATTTTTTTTAATTTTTTTTTTTGTTTGTGTACCGTCAAATCAGATCTGACTGGTACAGGAGATTGCCCCTCCTTCTCCAGCAGAGCATCTGGTGGATCCAAACTGCATACCTCTGGGATTGCAGTGGAAATGGCTGATAAAAATTTTGAAGGACTCTAGTTTCAATTCTTTTCTATCTCTACTCCTTAAGTCCACTAATCTTCAAACTTTGTCTTTATCGAGTACACATTATTTTACAAGCAATCTTCACCTGGATTACCTGCCAACTAGCTTGCCTTAGGAATCACTGTCTAAGATCTGTGATCACTTGCCTAAATTATGAGAATATCATTGCCAATCAGTTTTCTTCACATGAATTTTCTTTGAGAAAGTCAGAATACTCCTTGGAGGCAAAGATAACAATGCTTTATTTCACATACTTTGAAAGTGTTGCTTGGAGAGGAACATCATGCTTAGGAAGGTGGAGGGTCAGCAAAAGAGAAGACCCTCAATGAGATGGATTGACACAGTGATTATGGCATTGGGCTCAAGTATGTCAGATGAAGGTGGCACAGGGTAGGACAGGATTCAGATCTGTTGTTCATAGGGTTTCTGTGAGTCATGCTCAATTCAATGACACCTAACAACAACAATAGTTGGACAAAAGTTTTTCCTTTTTTTAAAGCTTTAGAAGACATTGTATTGTAGTGTGGTAGTCTTTGTGTTCTGTTGGGGTGTTCTCATGGTTTCTTTCCATTCTCTTAAGCCTATGTCCTCTATTGCTCAAGTGCTCCCTTTGCTTAATTTGTGTGTCTTTGCCTCTGCTTCTTCTTTAAGATAAAATACCCCCTACTTTCTTTTTAAAGGTTATAAGTTATAATTGTAAAGATTATTTTTAGGTGTTAATTTATTCAATATTTATAACAACTCCATTGTTGTTGCATACCGTCAAGTTAGAACTGACCCATAGCAGTAGGTTTTCAGAAGTAGTTAATTGCACAGGATTTCCTGTCCTCCTGTGGAGCAGCTGGTAGATTTGAACCATGTTTATAAGTGATTATAGTGCAGCTTAAAGATTATTTTTAAATGGTATTTTTGCTATCATTTAAATGTATGTTTTTATTTGCATGTCCATAAAGCACTACTCTACGCTGCTGCTTTGATTTTTAGAACTGTGTCTGTTGGCTACTTATTTTTCAGTTAGAAGTTACTAGTAGAGAAAACTAGTAATTTCAAAACTAGAAAATGTCAAAGAATGAATCAGCTTGGTCAGCTTACTGCAGCCTTACCTGGAGAAGCTGAAAGCTTTGATTATGCTCATTTGGCAATTCTAGAAGAATTTAACTAGTCTTTCTCAGTAGGACTTCTGTCTTTTCCCTGTAGTGTGGTAGACCAAGACTTGTTAGAAATCACCCCTCAAGGAGCCAGGGATGAAGCCAATTTGGATCCTACAAAAAAGGGTAATGACAAATCTTCCCAATTTAACAGACACTGGAGAGAGAATGGGTAGATGCAGTCCTTTAATTAAATTATGCTGAAGACCATTTGGTACATTTAGAATTCACAGCGTCACTTGGCAGATTTAGAATACAAGACTTTCTCAGTTGTCATAATATAGCCTGATATATTCAGTGATACTAGTTATTAAGAGTTCCCCTATATAACTGATTGTTACCCTTTGCTCTCAATTGATGTGTATTTTGTCTTGTGCCTACTGGTTTTGAAATATAGAAAATATGAGTCAGAAGATAGAACAAAGCACTTTGTGTCTGGTGCCCAAGCAGTCGACTTTTAATTTATTCTTTGAGGGAAAACGGGTGTGGGAATATTCTGAAACGAAAATTTTATTTCTCTTCAATGACAATAAGAGAACCTAGATAATAGGAATTAGATTGAAGAGTGTTGACTGCATCTTCAGTATACTGAAGTAGTTTATAATATTACTGTCCCTAAAAATAGCCAGTTGTTTGATTTCCATCCCTAAGTTGTATTATTCTTTTCCCCGTTAATTCTGTTTTTACGTATCTAATTTTTTTTTATATATATATTTTTTCAGCTGCTTGTGAGTTTTCTGAGGACATAACAAACGTTGGATATCGTCAGTCCAATAATAAAGATTTGAATACCATTAAGAAGCATACAACTGAGAGGCATCCAGAAAAGTATCAGGGTACTTCTGTTTCAAACTTGCATGTGGAGCCATGTGGCACAGATACTCATGCCAGCTCATTACAGCATGAGAGCAGCAGTTTATTACTCACTAAAGACAGAATGAATGTAGAAAAGGCTGAATTCTGTAATAAAAGCAAACAGCCTGGCTTAGCAAGAAGCCAACAGAGCAGATGGGCTGAAAGTAAGGAAACATGTAATGATAGGCAGACTCCTAGCACAGAGAAAAAGGTAGCTGTGAATGCTGATCTTCCTTATGGGATAAAAGAAGTGAATAAGCAGAAATCTCCGTGCTCTGAGAGTCCTAGCAATAACCAAAATACTCCTTGGATGACATTGAACAGTAGTGTTCGGAAAGTTAATGACTGGTTTTCCAGAAGTGGTGACCTGAAAGGCTGCCATCATGAGAGATCTGAATCTAATGTAACAATAGCTGCTGGTGAAGTAGAAGTTCCAAATGAAGTATGCGAATATTCTAGTTATTCAGAGAAATTAGACTTAATGCCCAGCAATCCTCATGATACTTCACTACATGAAAATGAAAGAACCCTCTCCAAACCAGCCGAAAACAACATCGAAGATAAAATATTTGGGAAAACCTATCGGAAGAAGGCCAGTCTCCCTAACTTGAGCCGTGTGACTCAAGATCTCATTACAGGAGCTGTTGCTACAGAACCTCAAACAGCCCAAGAACGCCCTCTTACAAATAAATTAAAGCGTAAAAGAAGAACATCAGGCCTTCAGCCTGAGGATTTTATCAAGAAGGTAGATTTGGCAGTTGTTCAAAAGACTCCTGAAAAGACAAATCAGGGAACTGAACAAATGGTGCAGATTGGTCAAGTGAAGAATAAGATTGCTAGTGGTGGTCATGAGAGTGACACAAAAGGTGATTATGTGCGGGAAGAGAAGAATATTAACCAAATGGAGTCACTGATAAGAGAATCTGCTTTCAGAAATAAAGCTGAACCTATAAGTAGCAGTATAAGCAAAATGGAACTAGAATTAAATACACACAGTTCAGTAGCACCGAGGAAGAATAGGCTGAGGAGGAAGTCCTCTACCAGGCATGTTCATGCACTTGAACTGGTAGTCAATAGAAGTCCAAGGTCACCTATCCATACTGAATTGCAAATTGATGGTTGGTCTAGCAGTGAAGAGAAGACGAAAAAACATTCTGAGCATAAACCAGTCAGAACTAGCAGAAATGTTCCAGTTACAGCAAATCAAGAAACTGAAACTGGGTCCAAGAAGAATAACAAGCCAAATGAACAAATGAGTAAAAGACATGCCACTGACACTTCCCCAGGACTCAACATAACTGGCTTCATTACTGACTGTTCAAATACCACTAATCTTCAAGAATGTTTTAATCCTAGACTTCAGGGAGAGGCAGTAGAAGACAACTTTGGACCAGTTCAAGTGTCTAATAGTATCAAAGATCCCAAGGATCAAGTATTAAATAGAGAAAGGAGTTTGCACACTGGAAGATGTGTTGAGAGTACCAGTATTTCAGTGTTATCTGATACTGATTATGGAACTCAGAATAGCATCTCATTACTGGATGCTGGCACCATGGGGAAGGCAGAAACAGCACCAGATCAATGTGCAAGTCACTGTGTAGTGATGGAAAACTCCAAGAAACATGTTCATGACTTTCCTAAAGATACTGGAAATGACACAGAGGGTTTTAAGGGCTTACTGAAATGTGATGCTAGCCACAGTAAGGATACGTACATGGAAATGGAAGATAGTGAACTTGATACTCAGTATTTACAGCATACATTCAAGGTTTCAAAGCGTCAATCATTTTCTCTGTTTCCAAATCCAGAAAGGGAATATACAAAGCAAGTGCAGCTAGTTCATACCACTGCAAGCTATTCTGGAGCCTGTGAGGAAAAGAAGCCAAGTGATTTTACCAAATGTAACATTAAAGGAGTCGCTAGACTCTGTCATTCATCTCCATTGAGAAGCAATGAATCTGAACTTATTACCACAAATGAACGTGGAATGTCACATAGCCCAGATCAGACTCCATCACTTTCTCCCACGAAGATTAAAATGACATGGAAGGAAAACCACCTGTCAGAAGAAAACTTTGAGGAACATACAATATCACCTGAAAAAGCAATGGGAAATGAGAGCATTGTTTATAGTCCAGTGAGCACAGTTAGCGAAAGTAACGTTAGGGGACGTGCTCAAGCCAGCTCAAGCAGTGTTAACGAAGTAGGTTCCAGTACTAATGAAGGAGGTTCCAGTATTAATGAAGTAGGTTCTAGTAGTGAAAACATCCAAGCAGAGCTCGATAGGAACAGAGGACCTGCATTAAATGCTGTGCTCAGATTAGGTCTTATGCAGCCTGAAGTCTGTGAACAAAGTCTTCCTGCAAGAAATTGTAAACATCCTGAAGTGACAAAGCCAGGAGACAATGAAAGAGAAATTCAGACTGTTAATCCAGATTTCTCTCCATGTCTCCTCTCAGATAATTTAGAACAACCTAGGGGAAGTTGTCATGCTTCTCAGATTTGTTCTGAGACACCAGATGACCTGTTTGGTGATGACAAAATAAAGGAAAGTAGCAGCTTTGCTGAAATCAGCTTTAAAGAGAGATCTGCTGTTTTTAGTAAAGATGGGCAAGCAAGAGAGTTCGGTAGGAACTCAAGCCCTTTATCTCATTCAGATTTGGCTCCGAGTCATCATCTAAGGAGCAATAGGGAACTAGAGTCCTCAGAAGAGAATGGATGTAGTGAGGATGAAGAGCTTCCCTGCTTCCAACACTTACTATTTGGTAAGGTAACCAATATACCTCATTCTACCAGACACAGTGCTGATACTGTAGAGTGTCTGGCTAAGAACACAGAAGAGGACCTCAGGTCGATGCAGAGTCACATAAATGACTGCAGCAACCAGGTAGCAACAGCACAGGCTTCCCAGGAATATCCTGATTGTGAGGACGTCAGATGTTCTGGCAGCTTATTTTCTTCACAGTGCAGTGCTTTGGAAGACTTGGCTGTCAACACAAATGCCCAGGATCCTTCCTTGATGTTTGGTCATGTTCCTTCTAAACAAGCAGAACATCAGTCAGAAAACCAGGAAGTTGTGAGTGACAAGGAATTGGTTTCAGATGATGACAAAAGGGAACCTGGTCTTGAAGAGGATAATGACCAAGATGACCAGAATGTGGATTCAGATTTAGGTATTGAAACTGGGATTTTGTGTCTGTCCCCTTGTTTTATGTAAGTGAACTAAATATGTATGCCTTTTGGGGAGCATATTTTAGGAATTTTTAAGTACCGTTAAAGTAACTCCTTAAACTTTACACTTCTCTTAAAGTAGTTTTCCTTAAAAATCCTTTTGGCCTTCATGGTCTTCTCTAAATGAGATTTAATGCCCTAATTGATGGTGAACTTGCTTCTGCTTTTCACTATTAGATTTCTAAGAGGAAACCCAGGTGTCCAAAAGGAAGGACTGTAATCACTTTGTGTGACACTGAAGTGTTCTGCCAGTAGGAAGAAACAGATTCAGCAAGTTGCAGTGTTTACTGATTTTTATATCCAAATCTCTGTCTTTATTATCTTTAGGTGAAGTAGCATCTGAGTATGAGAGTGAAGTTGGTTCAGAGCTGTCCTTTCAGAGCGATATTCTAACAACACAGGTAAAAAGTAGACAGTGTGTGTTCTCTACGTTCAGTGGTATGCACCTCACATTCTTGGCTTCCTTGTAGTATGACTTAGGATGAATGGCTATGTAATATTTGATTCCTTATTTCTTCAAATTAGATTTAAAGCACCTTGATAGTACACATCCTACCTTTCATTTCATATACATCGTCTAGCCAAAGTTGCTAGACACTAAATACTGAATTTAATGAATAAATGAAACCTTCAAGACTCATTTGCCATACAGCAAAAACATATGTGAAAGTATAGCTATATCAGAAGAGAGGGCAAATAAAGATTGTCACTACCAAATCTGAGCCTACAGGACTCATTTCCTATTAGATACTGCCTAACATCACTGTTTTATAGATTTAAAATTTTTTTCTTTTTCAGTGTACTAGTTCTTTAGTACTTGTAAGTTATCTTTTTCCTTTAACGAGAATCTTTTTGTGCCTAGTGGTCAAGACCAATAAAGGAATAATAAATTCTTTAATAAATAATGAATTGTTAAGTCAGTAGCTTTATCATATTAGTAACATTATTTAATGTGAATGTATGCAAATCATTAAGTGAAAGTACACAAGACTTCCTAGAAAAAAGCATTCTCCAACATAAAATTTAGACATTAATATCTTCCTCACAGAACCTGGCTTTGTCATCCAATTTTTATTTTATAGAAGTGTTACCAAAATTTTCCTTATTTTTATATTTAAATAATTCAGTGTGATTTAAATTTACTTTTTTACATATTTGCCTCCAATTGATTAACAACTTTCTTAAACATCTTAACAATCTCTTCATATTCCTAGCACAGGGTCCTGCGTGGAATAGGCACACAGTGCCTGCTGCTGATGCTATGGGTAAAATTCTTTACCTGATTATATAATTCAAAGTAATTTGTTTACCTTCTTTGACTGTAATATCTTGAAATGAAGCTCTGTGGACCTCCTGAATCATGCCACTTTAGCTTTTTCTTCTTACCTAAACCTTTAAATACACTTTTAGCTGCCAATTTTTATGACAGTTTTTTCCTGAACTTTTTGAGACAGTGCTTGAGGAAACTGTACTATTCTTATGAAACCATGCATGTGCATCATAGAAAAATACAGATAAAAATCTCTGAAAATAATGATTCACTAGACTTTAGCATAATCTGTGTACTGGGATGTTATGTTTTCATTTAAAAGATTGAGGCTACTGAAACCGCATGATTGTCAAGATAGATCATTAAGTGGAGAACATAAGGTGCAGAATAATATGTACAATCTATTACTAAAATGATGAGAAAATGGGTATGCATTTATTTTAATTAATTTTAATGAAAGTTTTCAGAGACTTTGGATTTCCATTCCCTCATTGTTGTACTTTTCTCCCTGTCCACCCCTCCCCCCCAGTTCGCTCTTCTGTTTGAAAAATAAAAGAAAAATTCTTTCATTGTTATACAATCCCTCTCCCCCCAAGTCCACTCCACTATGCAGCCTTCGTTCTGGATTCTGTCATGACAAGAATACCTAATCATATATCCCTTTTAAACAGTTCTGTCCCTTGTCTGTTTCAATGCAGTATATATTTTTCCTCCCCTCCTTTTCTGTCTTCCCTCAACCTTGATGTCAATCCTGTTTTACAACAGGGCCCCTATACCTTATCTTTTAAGGTTTTTCTATGACCTATTTGACCTGTTGTTGAATATTGACAGTTTGAGGCTAGGAAGCACTGTTTGTTTTTTTTTCCTGATAATTTCTTTGGTATAAATTCCTACAACTAGAATTTTTTGGTTTATGATACATACTGGTTTTAGAAAGATTGAACTAGTCTTTGTTCCTCCAACCCCAGGTGTATCTTGATAGTTCCTATTTCTCTACCTTTGCCAGCACTGGGTGGTATCTCCTGTTTTAAAATCTTTTAAGTTTTGTACTTGCTGTGAGAACTATAGATATAGAAGGATTATCTTCTATTGTCTAATGTTCTTTCATAATAAACCTCTTTAGGCCTGAAGCCTGTTGGCATAGGGAGGAAGCCTTTGAGAGGACTGCCTATGCTCTACCTGGGTTGTCATCCGTATTCTCCACTTCTGTGGGATTGCCATGGTGACAAAATTAATGAAAAGACTGGGAGGCTTTTTTTTCTCTGTTTGCAATTCCTGTGATCTTTTCTGGATATGAATTTGTGGTTTTGTTGGTATGCCTGCCATCTAATTTTGCCTCTTGTGATTTAAAGTTTAGGTTCTAGTTTCTGATTCCTCTGCCTTTGCCATACTCCATTATATGTTACTTACCTCCTTTTTTTTTTTTGCATCCTTAATCTTTTCCCAAAGTTGAGATTATTTATTCAGGATTCTTTTTGCAAAGTATTTTTTAATCAAGCAGCTACCTGAAACAGAGCTAAAGTAAGATTTCAGGCTAACCAAATTTATGCTACTATGGACAGACAGAATAATTAGGATGGAATCTTTCCTAGAGATCTCTCTCCCAGTTTGTTCCAGAACTGAGGAGAGGCCAAACTCAGAGGCTACTCACCCCATCTCTCCAGCGAGTCTCTGCCTGCAGGCAGGCGGCTCTCTACTGTGGCCTCTGTGCTCTCTGCACACCTTGAACCCATCATGCTGTCTCTTTCTAATCTCCTGTTCAGCTGCTATTTCTCTGCTCCTCTTGCTGCCACTATTTGCCATCTTCTCCAGTGTTATGTCTCTCTCTGTCTCCTTGACCAAAGAGGTCTCATTGCGTCCAAGAGCACTCTTGTCTTGCCTTACTTCATGATAATGAGATTCACTCTGCTGTGGGCATTGGCTCTTGGTAAGCCCAGTGGGATGGCAAAACCATCCAAGACCTACACGAGGGTGCCATACACCTTATTTGCACGGTCTCCCACCATAAAACCCTCAGCGAGGAGGTAGGCAGGAAAAACCAACCAAACAGCCTCAATGAGATGGATCGACAGAGTGACTGCAACAGAGGGCTTGAGCATGATGGAGATTGTGATGGTGGCACTGGGTAAGGTGCAGTTCTGATCTGTTGTTCATAGGGTCATTGTGAGTCGACAACTTGACAACAGTTGCTTTGTCCTAAGGTTGGGTTGTATATATAGGCTTGCAGGAGTCAGAACCAACTTAATATCACCCAGCAACAATGGCTAGTTCATCCTGGAGGAGGTGTGGCTAAAAGGGCCATATGAAGTACAGTCAACCTCTGAATTAAGAGTTAATTCCATTGCTAAATCTATCTTTAAGTCAAATTTACACTTAAGATCCTTTTCCGGTTCATAAGCACGAAGATTGAGAGTTCATACTTCTGTATGACATGTGCCACCCTTTAAACCTTGATATGTCATAGGCACACTACCCACCTGACGTGGAAAAAAAAATTTACACTTAAGATCGATCAGTTAGGTAGGAAGTATATCTGACAAGTGTTTATCTTAGTCTATAGTATACCTTTCTATGTGTAAAAAAAGTTAAATATTTCCAGATACTCTAAAACATCTTTAACATAATAATACAGTAGTAATAATGTTTTGAGAATTCTGTTGGCATAGTGTACTGTCTGACACTGCCATTTGAAAGGTCAGAGGTTCAAATACTAGCTTCTCCTCAGGAGAAAGATGGGCAATGTCCTCTCATAAAGAGATTTACACCTTCACAAACCTAGTAGAGACTCTCTTTGAGTTTGATAAAGCCCAATGGAAGTAAATTTAACAATGTTTTGATTCATTTCAAAAATTAGTACCCATTTATTATATAAAACCATTATGTTGTTATTGCTATGTGCTGTCAAGTCTCTTGTGACTCATAGCAACCCCATGTACAACAGTCCTAAACCCTGCTCTATCCCTTGCCAATCTTAATTGACTCTGACACGCCTATCCCCGTTACCCCAGTAACAGAATCAATCCATCTCATCGAGGGTCTTCCTCTCCTGCACTGTCCCTCCACCCTCCCAACCATGACGTCCCTCTGCAAGGACTGATTCCTCCTTGCAACATGTCCAAAGTATGTCAGATAGAGCTTCAGAATCCTTGCCTCCAAGGAGCAGCCTGGCTTCACCCTCTTCAGGACAAACTTGTTTGTTCTCCTAGTAGTCCATGGTATATTCAATACTCTTCACCGCCACCACAGATCAAAGGCATCAGTCAACTCTTCTTCTGTCATCCCTAGTCATTGTTCAGCTCTCTGATGCATAGCAAGTAATGGCAAAGATCATGGCCTGTATCAGGGGCACCTTAGTCTCCAGATTGACATCATTGCTCCCCAGTACCTTGGAGAGGTCTCTGACAGCAAACTTTTCCAATGCAATTCGGTTTTTAATTTCCTGGCTGCTGGTGCCAAAAGTGTTGATTGTAGAGCCAAGCAAACTGAAGCTGTCAACAATCTCAATCTCTTCATCATCCATCATGATGTTGCCAGTCAGCCCAGTGGTGAGAATCTTGGTTTTCTTGATGTAGAGCTTCAGTCCTGGTGAGAATCTTTGTTTTCTTGATGTTGAGCTTCAATCCCTATTAAAGGCTGCAGACCTTGACCCTCCTCAGCAAGTGCTTCAGGTCCTCCTCAGTTTCAACAAGCAGGGTTGTGTCATCTGCATAATGCAGATTATTGATGAGTTGACCTCCAGTCCTGATGCCACAGCTTCCTGGATAATCTGTTCTACATATAAATTGAAAAAATATGGAGATAGGACACATCCTTGATGCATACCCTTCCCATTATATGTACCTCAAATTTTTTTTTCCAAACTTTTAATATAATCAGCTTGACATGGTTGGTTCTTAACTATGAGTTGTACAAAAGTTGGACATCTATAACTTGGGAGTTATCTGTAATTCACTGTCCTGAAAATCCAAATACAGATTATCTACTTTCCAAAGACATTTTATTGGTAACATTTCTTTTGATCTCCTTCTGGAGATATTTGAGCTAGGCTTTGAAGGATGAACATTTTTCCAACTAGAAAGTTGGAGAACTAGAGGAGAGGCAGGAATTGAGGCAGGGGCATGGAAATGCAGAAAGCACAAAATTTTCCTATGTGACTGGAAAGCAAGGTGTATGGACAGTGTTGGGAGAGAAGAAAAGAGCAGGGTGTGAAGGTCCTTTTGAATGCTTTGTTAAGGTATTTGGATCTATCCTCTGGGATTACAGTGCACCTTCTTGAATTTATCCTAAGGGTAATGGTGGCTAATAATTTACATAGTGTTTAGAAAGTATTGTTTTAGCAGTATAGTGATGTACCTCTAGTGTTTTAGAAGAGATATGACAAACAGGTCTTTGAGCAGAATTCAAAGTAGAAATCAGAGTAGCATGGTGGAACTAAAAAAAGAGAAAAAAAACTAATGCACAAAATGCTTCTAGATTGTAATCAAAAGGACTTGGTATCAGAGTGATTTTGGCCTCCAAATAGAGTTGGCCCCTTGCCTACAGGGAAATTTATCTTAGTTTTTAAAATGCTTCCTTTGGGAAAACCCAGAGGAAAGTTTCATGGTTGTCATTCTGCCATTGCTGTCTTTTCTGATTTCCAAACCTCCTTAATGGCCATATAGAAGTCAGATGGTTTTGACATTAGTGACTAATACAGCCTCTGAAGCATCAATCAGGTGCCTGTGTGTGGTCTCATTCCCAGTTTACTAGCACAAGACCTTGATCAGAGTGATGTAACTTCTCACAAGCACCACGTGGTGGCAATGGCGTTGCTGCGGAAATTGGCAGCAAAGCTGCTGTGGGAGCAGTGAAACCTTTGTGACACTGGGAATACATTTTCTGGTCATAAAAACCTCCTGAAACTGCATCCAATGTAGCAGGATAAAGAAGATGGCTCATTTTCAGTAAAGCGCAAAGTCATTTTCAAGGAAAAGCAGAAGAAACAAGGTGAAGCAAAACATGTTTCCCCCAGATTTGCTGCAGCCATGCTGTTCTTTCTAGGAGTATAAATGAGTGTGCTTTCCTCACTTAGATTAATTTGCTTATCAAAAGTCATAGGCTTAGCAGATTTCTTCTTGAAATGACACATAACATTTGGAAGCCCCATAAATAAGAAGAGCTCACTATCTTGAGCTGAAAGCAGTAACTACTCAAACAGACTTTGTTAAAGCTCTTTCTGTTGAATACTTCTCTTTAATCATTTTCAGGTATCCTGTCCCCATGTAGAATGTCAGCACCATGGAGACTTATAGGACAGTGCTGCTAAGTCTGTTCTGATTGTTAGCAATCTTATGTACAATAGAATAAAACACTGCCCAGTCTCGCACCATCTTCAGAATCATGGCCATATTTGAGCCCACTGTTGCAGCCACTGTGTCAGTTTATCTTGAGAGACTTGCTCCTTTCGCTGCCTGAGCTTGTGTTTTACCACCTGTGATATCTTTCTCCAGGGACTAGTTAGCTTCTCTTAATAACACATCAGAGTACATGAGATGAAAATATTTCACTTACTGTGAATAGTGCCACAGTGAATATTTGTATATAAGTATATCTCAGTCTCTGTTTTCACGTCTTGGATATATAACTAGAGGTGGAATCCTGGGTCCTGTGATAGTTAAAAAGGAGCTCTGGAGGCCTAGAGGTAAGAAGCTGCGCTCTAATCCCAAAGGCGTGTGGCTCAAATCCACCAGCTGCTCTGCCAGAGAAGGACGAGAAATCTCTTCCTGTGCGATTTACTGACTTTGAAAGTACGCTGGAGGGTCAGTTGAGTCAGTTCTGACTCAATGGCACACAACAATAGCAACATGATATTTAAAAAAACTAACAGCCCAATATAATAGAGTAGAACTGTCCCATAGAATTTCTAAGGCTGTGAATTCTGATGGAATGCCTCGTCTTTCCTCCGTGAAGTAACTAATAGGCTCCCAACTACCAATTTTTCAGTTGGTAAGTGATGTTTAACCACTATACCATCAGGACTCTTGTGCAGTAGTAGTAGGATCATGGCATTTTAAAATACCAGGTTTTTTACAACAATCTAAAACAACAAGTACATTGCAAATGGACTAGGTGAGTGGGAAAAGAGAGGGAGGGAGGAAAATGAATGAAAACCCAACCACTCTGTAAACCTTGATAAAAATCACAAAATAAATATCGAGGTTTTAAGTAACTTAAGTGGTTGTTTTGTGCTTTTTGGATTTTTACTCCCTAGCTTTAAAAGAAAACCAACTTCATAAAGCCATCTGTCACAAATCTATTTGGAAGAGTTTAAATATTTTTCTCCCTCTTCAATATCATTCTGAAATAATTTCATGGGCATTAATTACATGAATATAGTTGATTAAAAGGTGTTCAGCCAGAACTCGTAAATCCTTCAGAGGTGATTTTAATTCCCATCCTAAAATTAATTACTGTCACATATTTTCATTTTCTGACAAATTCTTCAAAGAATATAACTTTTCTTGGTGTCATTTCTTGTGTTTGCAGCAGAGGGATACCATGCAAGATAACCTGATAAAACTCAAGCAGGAAATGGCTGAACTGGAGGCTGTGTTAGAGCAGCATGGGAGCCAGACTCCCCATAGCTCCCCTTCTCGTACCCCTGCGGACCTGCTAAATCTGCAACAGAACGCGTCAGAAAAAGGTGATTCGTCTTATTGGCCAAGCTCTGTTATCTTAAGCAAAATTCTTCCCTTCTTTATCATTTATTACCTTCTGAAAAATAAGGACTGAGTTACCGCATTTTATGATCTTTGCTCAGCACATATTTACTGAGTCACTCCGTGGATAATTTTAGAACATTGGTTCCATTCTCTGCCCACAACTAATTTACTATTCTGGAGGGACCCTGGACAGTCATTCAGTGCCATTGTCTGACTGAGCACCTGTATTGAGGAGTTCAGAAGATATACGCAGTGGTCTTTGCTGTTAGGCAGCTAGTGTAACAAGTAAGATTTAGAATAGGTAACCCCATAATTTCAGAAAATTTGTGGAAGGATGCTTAGACCTATGCCTTGCAACCCTGGTGTCAGACTAAAACTACTTGTTCAGTGTGATTTCTCATTTATGGGCAGAAATGTTTCTATCCTTCAGGAGCTGCCATTTGATCCATAGAAGGCCTGACTTGAGAGTTCCATACTTTATAACAATGTTATAGTTATTAATAAGGCCACATGTCCTTCTGAGAGAAGATAGTTGTAAAAACCAGGCAGGTGGGGCTGATCATAACTGACTTCATGTAGGAAGTGAATGCTGAGCTGAGGAATAATGTGCTCCTCTATCAGTAGAAAACACATTGGCAGAAATGAAGGGGAGAGAGATGAAAATTTGATTTTTATTTGCAAAGACTATTATTAAAGCATACCAGGCTTGAATTCTAAAAGCAAAAAGTAGAAGAAAGGTTAGACACAGGTATAGAGTCTCCAGGAGGAATTTGGTGCTTTAGAAGTAGACGGTAGACAGGGGTGGTAAGTATTCCCAAAGTACTCTTTGCTGCTTACCCAGCCCCAGTGACATCACCCAACTAAATTCTATCTCAAACATTCCCTTTCCCAATCTTAATTGGAGTGGGGGAAGGTATATTGGGCCTTCTTTTGAGCCTTTCTAGGAATCTCAGTCTGTTGATTATTCAGAATACTGGTCTTGGTCCCTGAGTGTATCTTGCAGTATTTTTATGTTCTGGGAGAAACAGTAACTCATGCATGAGAAGCTAGAGCCCGGTTGCTATGGCACTGATTCAAAATGTATTTCCTTAAATGCTTTCCTTGTCACTGTGTCTTCATTTAGTTTATCTCCCAGATAATGAAGCCCAAGGTCCCGTCCCCAGCACACTTGTCTTCTTTGGGGTGCTTTTACTGTCTTCAGTCTAAAAACAAACTATACTTTCATTTTAATGCACACAATATAAAATGTTATTGTCTGACTCTGAATGTCTTTGTAAATCTACTATCTGGTCTTTGGCATGTTTATTTTTTTTCCCCTCACCTTAAAATCTGAAGATAAAATGTTTCTTTGTTATTTCATTTCTGAAATGTTTGAGCCTCAGTTTATTACCAACTCAAATTTGGAACCTTTCCCTCACTTAAGTTGGTATGAGTCTAATTGAAATGCACTCAAACTTCTTAATCTTGGGAACAAATATAATTTGGCCTTTGCTATACATAATGACTTAAATTTTTTTTTTTTTGGTAAACTTTTCCGTTTTGGGGTCATCTTAGAGTAAGGAGTTTTGATGGCATAGTGGTAAGAAGCTGCACTGTAATCCCAAAGGCACACTGTTTGAACCCAGTAGTTCCGCTGGAAGAAGATGGGCAGTTTCCTGTCATGTGATTAACCTGTGAAAACCTGCCTAAGGGTTGGCTAAAGGTCGGCTCCAATTTGACAGTACACAACAACAATAATCTTAGAGTCACAGAAAACTTACCATTATAGTACAGGCAGTTACTCATTTAATGTTACTATCTTAGAGTACCTGATATATTTATTAAAACTCAAAACCAACATTGATACAATATTGTTACTGAAACTCTAGACTTTATTAATTTTTAAGATCCAGTCATCTGATGGCACTGTAGTTTATCAGTTACTAACCAAAAAGTGCTTCAGCCCCATCATCTGCTCTGCAAGAGACAGATGAAACAATCTTCTTATATAAAGATTTAGAGTCTTAGAAACCCTATAGGTTTTCTCTGCCCTTGAGGATCTCTATGAGTCAGAATCAAGTATATAATAATGGATTTTGGAATTTTATTATGTCAAATGTTCTGTCTTACTATTTGTCTCCATGTCATTCCCAAGCATTAACAGTATTGTGCAAATGTGTATACCTACACGTTGTAAATTGTGTACTTCCTTCCCTCTGTAGATACTGCAGTTTCATATCAGACACTTTGTGATTTGGCTTGGTGGGTCCGTGTGTCCGTCCCCCCCTGCAGATCTCCTGTCATTCATAACGTAAATACTAGCATTTGTGGGATTACAGCCTGTGACAGTGGATGTAATTTTTGGATACATCAGAGCTTTTCAATCCTATGACAGTTTCTTAAAAGTGCTTGTTAGAAAGTCCTTAGTCAACAAGGGGAGTATCTTTACGGTAATGGAAGAGTTCTTTATCTTGTTGGTTACATAAATCTACATGTAATAAAATCCATTTATAAACAACAACAAAAAAGAAATTCCTAATTTCCTCCCCTGAGAATTTGGAATCAGTTGGGCTGTTAATAGGTGCTATCAAATCATCCTCTACTCATGGTGACAGTCTGTGCAGCAGATGTGCCATCCGTCCCCTCACAGTGTCTGCTGTATGTAAGTCCACTGCTGCAGTCATTGTGTCAGTCCATCTCCTGGAGGGTTTTCTTCTCTTTTGCTGACCCTCTACTTTTCCAAGTCTGATGTCCTTCTCCAGGGCCTGGCCCCGTCTGATAACATACCCAAAGTATGTGAGAAGTCTCACCATCCTTGCTTCTAAGCAACACTGGCTTTCCTTCATCCAAAACAGACTTGTTTGATTTTTTTATCAGTTTATGTTCAGTAGTCTTCACTAATACTATGATTCAAGGCATCAGTAGTTCTTCAGTTTTCCTCATTTCTTGTTTCCACATGTATAGAAAACAATTAAAAATTCCATGGTCAGGGTATGCCTTAGTCTTTAAGTGGTATCTTTGATTTTTTTTTAACTACTTTAAAGACGTCAGTCCCTAGAAGCAAATTTACCCACTGCAATATGTCGTTTGATTTCTTGACTTCTGCTTCCTTGGGGATTGAGTTTTGGATCCAAACTGTTTCAACTTACTAAATGTTTGTGTTTGCCTAGGTTGTCTACCCAGGAAAACTATGTTAAGAAACTCCACGTGGACTCAAGGAGAACCATAATACTATTCTGATACTTTGAGCTAGCTGCTCAGAAAATGAAATAAGGATTAAGAAAAGTTTTATTTTGAGAGTTTTAGGTGCTACTAAGTTATTGACTCTGGACTCAGATTGGTTTTTCTTACTCTAAAGCTTGAGGCCTACTCTAATGAAAATAGGATTTCATATGCTAAATGTTCAGGAAAATTACTTTTTAATAACTCTTGTGTTTGCTGTTTTTTCCTCTTTTCCCTTTTTTTAAACTCTTTCCAATGGGTGAGTCTATTTGGTGTGATTCCTTAGGAAGCTACACCTTATTGTCATCAATTATATTTTAGAGAAAGTTATACCTGTATTTAAAAGCTTTATATACCCAGCTGAATGAAAAACCTGCTGGCTCATGGGTAGACCTTATTTGCTTTTAGCAGTTGGTAGCTCCAGCCAACGTTCTGCTTTTGTTCCTAGAAGCTCACAGGTCCTGAAAAGACAAGCATTAAGGAAACTATAAATAATGCATTTGTGGATTAACTCGAGAAATCAATGATTGTTTCCTCCAGGCTGCCCAGTATCTTTAAAAAATAGTTTAATTAATACAGCTCTTTGTTTACAATTTTCCACCTCAATTCATGGATTTTAGCTTTTCTAATAAAAGCTGAAAATGAATTAAAGTCATTGTTATGGGTTAAATTGTGTCTCCCAAAAAATACTGTTGTAAATCCTAATTTTTTTGTGCAGTTATAAACCCATTTTCAAATTAGGTTCTTCTTATGTAAATGAGGCAGGATTAGTGCAGGGTATATCTTGGGTCGGTCTCTTTTGAGATATAACAAGCAAATTAGGAAGCAGTGATGGGGAAGAGAGGTGCCAAGCTGCAAAGATTGACCAGAAGCTGAGAAGAGAAGGGCCTTCCTTCAGAATCAGTGCAAAAAGCTTTCCACTAGACCATGCCATTCAGACTTTTAGCTTCCTGAATCCTGAAAAATTTCTCTGTCATAGCCACCTACTTGTGGTGTTTTTGTTATAGAAATACTAGATAACTAAGAATCAGGGAGCTCTTGTAGACTAGTGGGTAAAGAATTGTACTGCCAAACCAAAGGAACATGATTTGAATCCACCAGCTGCTCCATGAGAAAAAACTGGGTGGTCTCCCAGTTTTCATCTTCTGAAATTTCCTAGATGCTCAGCTCTGAGACAGTTTTGATTCGACAGCACATAACAACAACAGGACAGAATAGAAGCAGGAGTGTTGCTATTAAAAATACTTTAAATCTGGAAGTGATTTTGGAATTAATGAACAGAGACTAGAAGAGGTCTCAGTGTTCCATATTAGACTGCTAATTGAAAGTCTAGCACTTTGAAACCGTCAGATGTTTTTGGGAAAAAAGATGAGGCAGTCTGTTTTCATTAAGATTGACAGCCTCAGAAATCTGATAGTTTGGAGGGTTGGAGGGTTAGGGTGGGTTGGAATCAACTTGACAGCAGTGGGAAGTGCAAATATTAAAGTGGCAAATATTAAAAGCCTGAGTTTCATATGCGACACTACTGATAGGATTATGGGCGTCATAGGCAGTTCTAGTAAGGGCTTATGAGAAAGTGCAAAGAGCTGTAAAGTCTATAAAAAAATCTTAGAGAATACATATGGTACCAGCAATACAGTGTTGTTAGAAGTGCGCTTCTGGTGAAGATTTAATTTGTGTGATTGGACAATGGAAGAATGGCCAATGAGCAGCTCAGAAGAATCCTTTCTCGAGAGCCAACAGAAAAAGTTTTCCACCAGAGCCAGTTTCCTGAATTCAGATTTATAGCCTAAACTATAGGGAGCTATGGTGGCCTAGTGGTAAGAAGCTGCACTGCAATCCTGAGGCATGCGGTTCGAATCCACCAACTACTCCAAGCTATGAGTCTTTTCTGGCTCAGTGGTACATAACAAGAAGACTAAACTGAGAAAATAAATTTCTGTTTATTAAAGCTATCCACTTGTGAATAGCAGCATTCAGTAGACTTTTATAATAAATTTTAAGTGTTTGATTTGCTTTTTAAATATTTTGCTTTTAGGCCACTTCCAAGAATCTTCTGGTATAATATGCATTTGGAAGAATTAATTTAAAAGATATAGTTGATATGCCAGAATTTACCCCTAGGTCTGTTTTGTATTTTTCCCCCTTCTTAAGCCAGTTCATCATGAGTTTTATTTATTACTTCAAAGGGGGGGTTGTTTTCAGTAACTGAAAATGTGAAGCAAAAATTTCACCTTTTTCTCACTTATTTCCCCCCTTCTGTTTTCCCATACCATTCAAAAGCCCTCACACTCTCTCTCTATATATAAATCTTTGATGTGGAAACAGGATAGAAAAGAAAATTTGCTCTGTGCTTTTCAGACTGTTTTCTTTCAATTATCTAAGGAGTTTGGGGCATAATTTAATTTGCTGCAGAGATAAGTTTATTCCCTATTCTTGTTATCATTTAGAGCCAAAAATTAGAAAAAAATTATTTGTTTGGCCTTGTCTCTACTGGGTGTCATTATTTACCTGGTCTTAAAGTGTTCTTTTTATTATTGTATGGGTTTGTGTGTGTGTGTGTGTTTGTTTGCTTGCTTGTTTGTTTGTTTGTTTGTTTGAATCATAGTTCCTTTTGGCACTAACATCTGTATTTTACATCACTGGTATTTATAATATCCTGTCTGATAGACACTTTTAAAAAACTGATTTAATTGTCACAGATTGCAGCTTTTGGGAAAAAAACATTCTCACCTGAATTTTAACCATCAGGCAGAGCAGTATATTTCTTTGTTTGTCGTTCCATTTAAAAGCTCCATATTAACTTCAGAGAAAAATAATGATTGTCCTGTAGGTGAAAATCCAGAAGAATTTTCTTTTTTTTTTTTCCAGAAGACTTTTCTGCTGACAAGTTCCAAGGATCTCCAGATACTTCCATCAGTAAAAATAAAGAACACAAAATAGAAAGGTAAGAAACATCAAGTTGTTGTATCTAAGTAACATCTTTGCTTGATTTGAACTTTTTCCGTATTTTTTCTGGTTTTTTATTGTCACAGCCAGTAACCTCTCATTGCTTTAGGATACTTATTTTATTTCATCATATAAGCTATTTTGTTTGTTTTTTGAGAATCAAACCCATTGACTGCATGATGAATGCACAGTTAGGAAGATATGTTCCTTTTGAAGATAAAAATAAAATATTGTAAAATGAAAACCAGAACAAGCCTGGAGCCTGATGACAGATGTTTCCAAAACAGCGCTTCTACTAATTGGAGTTTGCCTTTCCAGAAAAAAATTAAGCCCTTTTTTTACTTCAGAAAATACTCAGAATATCTTTTAGGAATGGTTATTCAAATCATAGGATCTCTGGTAGTCTAGGCTAGAGGATGCTGTACTTCCTACCAAAAGGCTAATCATCCTCAGCTGTTCAAATCCACCAGTGGTTCTGCAGGAGAAAGATGGGCAGTTCTGAAGATTTACAGCCTCAGAAACCTGAGAGGGAGTGTTTAGGGGTCGGAATTGACTGAAAGGCAGTGAGTTTGAGTTAGTCAGGAAGTACTTTTCCTGCTTCCTCATTTGATCTGGACAATGCTGTGAATATATTTTTTATATCTCTATCTGAAGATGTTGATTGGTTGTCAGTAATCTAATCACACCATCTTTTACAAGCTCTTTGGACCGGACTCAGGTGATATTTCTTTTTAGACTGGAATACTGCATTGATGGTCACAGAGAATGGAAAGAACTAGCCTCCATAGGCACTATACCCATGTTTAGAGGTAATAGCCTCAGGACTGTGTTTAGCCAATTAAGCCAGCCACCTACTGACAATTCAGACTAAATGTTCCTATCTCTTCCACCTCATACAGAATAAGCCCTATAGAGATTTCTGTCAGAAATATTACATATTGATCAGACATTCTTCCTCTGCTACACTGGTTGAGAACAGCAATTAAGACCTTGCTCAGTGCACACCCATGTTTATTGCAGCTTTGTTCACAATAGCAAGGAGTTGGAAACAACCTAAGTGCCCGTCAACAAACGAATGGATAGAGAAGTTGTGGTATATTGACACAATGGAATACTATGCTGCATTGAAAAACAAGGAATTCATGCAATATTATTCAAAATGGGTGACTCTGGGAAACATTATGCTGAGTGAAATATCCCAGTCACAAAAGGACAAATATTGCATGGTGCCACTGTTGTAAAAGAGGACTGACCTTGGGATTGGGGAGAGACTGAGTAAGAGGGGTTCAATAATGGATATTGCACTGAAACAGAGGAGGGAGAAAACTGTTTAAAAGAGACGTGTGATTAGGTATTTCTGTCATGACAGGAGTCTAGAGCGATGGCTACATGGTGGAGTGGACCTGGGGGAGGGTTTATAAAACAATGAAAGGATTTTTCTTTTACTTTTCCAAGAGGGTAGTGTTCTGGGGGGGAGGCTTGGGAGGGGACAAATGTGCAACAGTGAATGAATGGAAATCTAAAGCCTCTGTAAAATTTTACTGAAATGAATAATAAATTTAAATGTAAAAGAAAATTAAGAGTAAGGATGGCAATGGATTTATAACTGCTCATGCTAATAACACTATATCATGACATGGAGGAGGAATAGTGGAACTGTATCCACATTTACAATATTCTTCTTACCAAAACCATTTATGGAAAATAGGAACTGCATTGGAATATGTATCTGTGGATTGGAAATGATCATATTGTTAATATTTCTAGCCTTAAGCTTAAAAGATTATAATGTTCAAAATTATTTGTTATATATTTGTTTAAATTTTTCCCTCTTTTAACAACTGGGATCTAGAGGGAAGAGAAAAGACCAGAGAATGGCCAGAATTATTGGGGCAGCTATTGCTGCCAGTTTAGGGCCTGTGTCAGGAAAAGGAAGTCTTACTCATAAACAGTGCCACCCAAAGGTAATAAAGGAGGTCAGAATTGCTTCCACTGTGGAAAGCTGGGCCAATTCAGTAGACAATGTCACAGATGAGAGCCACGGATAGGCAAGGGAATAGAGAGGAAGCTCCCATTCACTTGCTTTAAGTGTGGATCTGAAGGACATTTGGCCAAGGGTGGCCCACATCAGATCCGCGTGGCTGAGAGGACTGACAGGCCCCAGCTCCCAGCTGGAAACAAAGTAGGACGCTTTAACAATTTAGATCCTCCCAGAAGAGCTGTGGGTGAGCATTAACATTACTGGTAAGTATATTCCTTTTCTCCTGGACACAAGAGCCTACTATTTGGTCCTAAAAGCCTTCTGAGGTCCCAACTCTTCTCACTATTTCTTAGTTGTTGGAATTGATGGAAAACCTCATAAGCAGTTCCTTACTTCACCTCTGCCTTGCATGCAGACTTCCGAGTTGTAAAACAACCCAGTGGTAGATGGAATTTGCTCTAGGACTTAAGAACAATAAATGACATAGTTGAGCCTCTACATCTTGTGGTTCCTAACCTTTATACTATAATAGACAAAGTGCTAGTCAATAGGCCTTTTACTTTAAGAACTACCTTCCCTCAGTAACTTGATTTGTGCCACTATTAGAACCTCTACTTGGAATATTATTGCTTTTTAATTTTTGACTCATGTACTTTTAACTTGTTAGTTAAATTTGTGTCTTTTAGGCTGCAACAGTTCCATGATACATTTTCAAGGATATGAACATGTACGGCTAAGCACCATTGATAACACTGCATCTAAATTCCAAAATCGATCTCCACAATAGTCTACGTGTTTCCTATTGCCAAAGGGGCCCTTTAGAGTAGTGAGAGAAGATCTTCACCCTGAAACCTACAGCGTCCCTTTTCAGCAGGAAATAGCTAAGAGAATATGCCGTCCCCTTTTCCTTATGAATCAGGGTGAAGTCTCTCTCAGGGAGGAGTGATAGGGAATGGCAAAGGGCACACTGACAAAGGAGATTAATCAGAACTGGCTTTGACAAGCACTGTGGCGATGGGACAATTAAACAGACTTTCAAGGGAGGGAAAAAAAGGAATGAACTGGGGGGAGGGTAGAGAAAATAGTGCAACAATGAATGAATGGAAACCCAAAATCTCTGTAAATGTTCATTAAAATTAATAAAATTTAATAAAAAAAATCTAAAAAGAAAAAAAAAACAACCTTGCTCAATCTACCAGCCTTGCCTAGACCCATAGTAAAAACAAATTCTTTGTTGGAATTAATTAGTAATCTCTGAAGTCTTTTAAATCTATTGATGATAATTCCACAAAGTTCAAAACACTTTAAAGAGTGGAGGAATTACTTTTTAGCTATATCTCTTCATCTGATTTAATATTTTATATCTGACTTTGTTTTCAGATTGACTTTGGACGTTTAAAAGCTAGAGAATGGAAGGATTCTATTCTACTATAATTGAGTAGAAAGAATTACTGTAGAGATGTCAGGACTAGTGCATCCATTTGAACCAAGCAGAACAATGTATGGAATTTGAATAAATGACAGTTGATAATTTGCTGACCTGCTTCTAAACAACTGGGAGATATCTCACACCAACCTCTAAGGGGAGTCCTTATGTTAGCCCTGACATATTGGCAAAGCCATGAATCCAAACTTTTAGACCATTAGCTTTTGTTTGCTAGTTATTCCCAACCATTCTTTAACAGAGAGCTGTTTAACTCATACTTTGTCTGCCTGGCTAATCCTTTCATGAGTCGTTATGCTTCTTCTTTCATCTATCTTTCAAGGTCCTCTTCTAAAGTCCAGTTGTTGGACAGTAGGTGGGATATTCATGGCCACTCACGGAGTCTTCAGAATGAAAACTGCCTGTCTCAGGAGGAACTTGTTAAAGTGGTGGATTTGGAGGAGCAACAACTGGCAATGTCTGAAGCACGTGGTTTAATGGAGCCGTCTTATTTGTTAAGGCAGGATCGAGGTAATGTTTCATGTACTTTGATGGAGAAAACACTTTTCTTTTACTTTGAATATTCTGATTAATCAACCTTCAGATGTACAAATCTACCATAGAAGGCATCTGTGATACTGAAGTCCATTTTGTTAGAAATAACTTTAATACTAAACCAAGTTTTTGTGAAAATTATTGATTTAACACATCTAACAATTTAGAGAATGGAAGAGTCTTAGTGCATGCTAAATATTTCATTTCGACAAGAGTAGAAGGCCCTAGAATTAAGCTATAAACCTGTCCTTTATTGAAACATGAGTCAAATGCTGAAGGCAAGTTCTTCTTTGATAAATTGATAAGTATAAATGACTGTTATGTATTATAAATCATTTCATGAATACTGTGTCTTATATCTTATAAATCAAAATTTTAGTCAGTAATGAAAGTTTTAAATCTCAAAAACACATTATTTTAAAAGGTGCTATTTGACATCAAATGTAATATTTGGCCATGTTCACTAGGACATCTGATGGAGTGACATTTTCTAAAATGTTTCAGGTATGCTTTCTGCCATTTTAAATTCGGTAATGAAGTCTGATGATTTACTAAGTTCCATCATGAATGAAATAACAAAAATAGAGTCTCACTTTTCAGCTCTTTTTCACAAAAGTATTTATTAGCCCCCAAAAAAAATTGAGGTGGTAATTTTGTTAAAGAGAAATATTGCCTATATTCCTATTAGGGAGCCCCAGTGGCCTAGTGGCAAGAAGCTGATTACCAAACTAAACCCACTGCTGTCAAATTCATTCCCACTCATGATGACCTTCCATCTGTGTCCAAAACTATAAAACTTTTTGAGAGGAAGCCACTCATCTTTCTCTCATAGAGTACCTGGTAGATTTGAACCATCAGCCTTCAGTTAACTACCCAATACATAAGTAATACTTGATCAGGCCTCTTTTACATTCTATCACTTAATGATAAAACATTGGTTTCTGGGGTTTTATTGTAAACCCACATTTGTGTGCAGATTCTAATGCATGAAGAATATTCTTTGAAATAGATTAGTCTCTTACCGAATGTTTAAGTTGTTTCTATCTGAAAATGTGTTAAGGCTTTTGTCTCATAAAGCCAGATTGTCTTGTAGAAAAGTCCCTTTGCACTTAATAAATAGTACGTTAGTGTAGTCATTTTTCTCTTAATCTAACTTGATCTGTCTTTAATATTTAGAGACTTGAGAAATTCTAATAAAAGCTCACACAAAGATGACACTCTTTTCCCTCTTCCTTTCAGAGGGAACCCCTTGCCTAGAATCTGGAGTCAGCCTTTTCGATGACCCTGAATCTGATCCCTCTGAAGACAGAGCCCCAGACCTGGCTCCTGTTTATGATGTGCCAGCTTCATCCTCTCCATTGACTTTACCTCAATTTCAAGTTGCAGGGTCTGCCAATAGTTCATCTGATGCTCATATTACTAATACAACTGTGAATGTTGTGAAAGAAAAAAGTTTGAGCAGGGAGAAGCCAGAAGTGGTATCTTCCACAGAAAGCATCAATAAAAGAATGTCAATGGTGGCATCAGGCTTGACTCAAAAAGAATTGGTGAGTATTTTTATATGTATCTCCTTGATGATTGAGTCTTTATCACAATACTACCAGTAGTTTTATTTTCAGTTGTTTCTGTTGTGTACCATTGAATTGGAACTGACACATAGTTGACCGTACAGTGGGGTTTTAGAGGCCCGTCTTTCATCCGTGTAGCAGCTGGTGGATTTGAACATACCTTTGCGTTGGCAGCGCAATTCCTTACCACCAAGCCATCAGAGCACCCTTTCGTTGAGTGTTTCGGAGATGGTGAGGATGGCACAGGATAGGGCAGGATTCAGGGTAATTATGAGTCATCCTCGACAGCACCTAACAACAGTACTGGTTGTGCTACTAACTTAACGATGTCACCTCTATGGGGGTTCAGATATACCAGTGGCTCTGTGGGAGAAAGAAAAGAAATCTCTTCTTGATTTACCTAGAAAATCTGCTGGAGGGTCATTTCTGAGTCGGCTCCAACTCGACTGCCATGAGTGAGAGAGAGAGAGAAAGTACTGAATAAGCTGCAAGAAGACATCTAGAGGCAGGCACAATTCCATGTAATTTAGTTTCCATTACTAATTTCTGAAAATACGCAGGGAGCCAAAATTTATAATATGCATTCTTTTTAATTAGAATATGTTTATTTGAGAACATGACTAGCAGAAAAGTTACTTTGAGTGGACAGAACTTTTACATTTGAATTTTTTTTTTTATTTTAAAGAACATAAAGTACACGAAACACTATCCTCAGAAAGCATCTTCCCCCGGCCCCAACACACCTCCTGTGCCACCTAACTCACACCTGAAAAACAAAATTCATACTGGTTCCAGCATATTGCCAGATAGTGACATTTCTTAAATGTTTTTCTTTATTCCTGCCTTATAACACAATTATTCCATAGGCTACCCTATTATTTCTTCTCCACAGCACCCGTTGCTATGTTAAACTTTTGGCATCCCTTTAAACCCCTCATTCCAGAAATGGCAATTATTTTATATTGTGGAAAAATATTCATTGAAATAACTAAGACCACTGAAACTTTATTCAGACATCCTGGAACATTTACCTCCCTTGTGATTAATCAACACTGGCATCACTTCATTATAAAGTAATTAAGTAAATATCTTTTTTAAAACCATGGTAAGATAACACACCAAAGTATCAAATGGATTTCTGTAGTAGATGAGGTACACTGAGAAACACTTTTGTCATTCTTAACTATCTTCCGTAATGTATTCCTCCCAGGATAAGAACCATTTCTCATCCTAACTTCTCTATAGGTGGTGACTCAGCATCCTATTCTATATGCAGTCAGATATGTTTCACTACTCAAAGGGCAAAGTAAGTGGATTTGCCCTGCTTGTTTCAGTGAATAAGTGCAAGATAATGGCTACTAAAATTCTCATCTGCCAACCACGTTCCAGGACAGTTAATTTCTTCTGAAATTCAGACTTGTGTCTGTTTATATTGCTCTTGATAGCCTGCCTACACATCCAGAATGCCCATTTATTTGTTGAAAATTAGCATTCCTGTTCCTCTGTTTTGAGAATTCAGCTTTTCAGAGATGGCTAAAATTGTCTAATCTTTCTTGCCATGGACAATTCTGAGCTGCAGATTAGACTATAAGTGGCTTGGGTGCATATTATCTTTACACAAGCAGAAAGAAAAACTTTTGAGCTCTATTCAGACTTGCTGAAGTGGATTAAATTTATGATGAAAGCTGCTGACTGTATTACACATGATTAATTCTGAAACCCATATTAAGATGATCTTTTCAGCAATTGCTCTTCTAACGGAACACTGTTTCAAGGCTGGGATTTCAGCAATTAATCAGATCAGAATTGCTAATGATCCTGGCAGAGGGCAGTGGTAAAAGGGGGAGGATGCCATTAGCTCCTCTAGCCTGCCTTATTCAGTGCCTGCCTCATTCACTGCCCTGTGGCAGTATGGAGAGTGAGGCAGCTTTAAAGAAAGATGGCCTGACCTCAGCATCAATATTGTGTAGCCCATAAATACTGGTGTGGGTGGTGATGGCTAGTAAATGATGGCCTTTGGTAAACAAAGTTATTTACCAAACAGCTACCAATTAATGTCACCTGCACCTATAATGGATCTGATTAATTTCCTTTAGTCCCTATTGATTTTTGTTTGGTTGAGAGATAATGCCTGGAAGGCTCCAGATTTCTTTTGAGAAGAATATAAGCCTCTTCCAGTTCTCCTTAAGATGAAATTAATAGTCTTTGAACTGACCTTTAGAAGGATCTTGACTCAAGTGTATTTTAAGTATCAGAGAGTTAGAGCTTGCTTTTAAGCCACATATATGTGTATCATACCTTTCTATCCAGGCTAGTATCTTCTCAGCCTATAAAGAATAGGCTAATAAATGTAAATTATATATAGTATAGTGGAATGTCACTATGCAAGAAACTCTCTTAGGGAATCAAATGACAACTGCTGTAAAAAGCAAAATTAATACTATTTCGCATTTTGATTGTAATTCCATGTCTGCATGAACTATTTTAGTGTTATTTCCTCTGATTTGTACATAATTTTTAGTGAATTACTATTTACTCTGAGACATACACCATGTTAGAATAAAAATTAAATGCTTTTTTTTTCTGAGAGAAAATGGAGACTGAAGCTCGGTTCTAATTCTGTAAACTATATATACTTGAAATAATTTGTAAGAATGCAATATTTACTTCATTTCAGACGCTTGTGCAAAAGTTTGCCCAGAAATACCACTGCGCTTTAAGTAATCACATTACTGACGAGACTACTCATGTTATTATGAAAACAGGTATGCTGAAAACCTTAACAAACTATGTTGCATCTGCTGAATAAAACTGCATGACCAAATGGGAATATTTGATACATGTATTGGTTAAGTAATGCTGCTGTAACAGAAATACCACAAATGGGTGATATTAACAAACAAATTTATTTTGTCACTATTTAATAGAATAGAAATCCAAACTCAGGGTGCTGGCTCTAAGGGAGCTCTGGTCTGATCATAGTCTGTAGGGAGTTGTGCTGTGGACCCAAAGGAGAGCAAGAGGCAGTCCCCCAAGCCATTTACAGCCTCTGAAAACCCACTACAGGGTCAGCAGTGAGTCATTTCTACCTCATGGCAATGAGCTGTTACTGATTCGAATTCCTTCTGGAATCATTTGAAGAATAGAGGAAAGCAACTGTCCTCATGTATCTGAAGAATTGTTATCTGAAAGAAAACTTAGATTCACAGGGCTCTAAAAACAAAGACCAGGGCTTAGCAGGGAGAGGATGAGAAGGATGCAAATTATGGCTCAATTCATAAAACCTTTCTAACATTTTTCTCTGGAAATACTGTGGTCTTGGTCTACTCCAGGATGTTTGTTCACACGATCACAGATATCTGAGCAGAGCATCCAAATCCCTTGGCAGGGACACACTGTCTAAAGGCCTTTAAGACCTTGGATTTCTGGTGTAAATTGTACCACAGGGTTAGAGGCCCATGCTGACTGGAAATAGGTACCAGAACAAGGCACAACAAACTTAGTACTGATTTAGAGGCGACTGACATTAAAGCTTAATATTTCTTAAGCTGTGAATTTGTATCAAAGCTGATATAAAGGGAAAAGAGAACTTTAAAATGCAAATTAAATCTAGAGTAGTTCAGTCTTTATTCTCAAAGACCATACAACATTTGCCTCTTTGAAATAAAAATAAGCTGAAATTTCTGAGTGTAAGGCATATTATTAAGTCAGCTTTTGCAGCTGTTAAACAAAAAGCTCTAAAAATTAAAATGTGAAGAGTTTTCCATGAGGAAGAATGGTCGCTGCTACTACAGGCAGGTTGCCTGCTTGTGTTTAGGGTTTAGTTAAATACATTTCTCCTGTTTAAAACTAAGTGTTCTTTCTCCATTTTGCTTAGTTCTTCAAAGGAGCCTTTGAAGCGCTAGGAAATAAACAGAAGTGATTCCTCAGCTCCTGCTTTCTGAAATGCTTACCTGCAAAAGAAAAAATCTAGGAAAATATGCCTGTATTTTCCTGTACTTCTTAGGAACATATTAAGGTGTTAATATTCCCCAGGTGGAAGCATGAGAATGTGTCCCTTGCATTAATATTTCATCCTTGATTATACAGTGGATTAAGCATTGGATTGCTAACCAAAAAGTTAGCCATTTGAATTAACCAGTCAATTCTCAGGAGAAACAAGATGGCCTGCCTATATAAAAATCTACAGCCTCAAAAACCTTGTGGACCATTCTGCTCTGTCCTCTAGAGTCACTATGAGTCACATTGATTCTATTGTGTTGGGTTTTCATTCACATATTATTGTCCAGTAGAAACTAACCTCTGTCAACATTTCTCATAGCAACACTACTGACAAGGGTCATGTTTTGAATGTAACAGATCTTTAGCTAGGCTTGGCATCAAAACAATGAAACATACGTTTCCTCTGGTCCTTTCCCAAGCTTCCAAAGACCCATACCTGCTGCTTGTAACTAGCGATGCTTCCAGCCCTGTCACCCAGGAGTATTAGAATCATCACTCCAGATTGAAACCATCTAGCATAAGGATCTGGGGTTTCATAGAGCAGTATTTCCTGATTTTGTGTTCAGTGTCAACTAATCCTTCATTTGTTTTTCATTCTTCAGATACCGAGTTTGTGTGTGAACGGACACTGAAGTATTTTTTGGGAATTGCAGGAGGGAAGTGGGTAGTTAGCTATTTTTGTAAGTACGAACTAATTTCTCCCCTCCTCCCTTTAACACTGCAGAACTGGATTTTTACACCTAACGTTTGAATACCCCAGATTTTTGCTGCTGCTGAGTCTGAATTACCAAGAGGTCTTTAATGGTCGCATTAAACTGGTTTTATCTTTAATGCATATCACTTTGTTCAAATAAGCTAGTGACGTTGAGAAAATGAATTTCTTTTCAAAACTAATAGAACCTAATCTGCTCCTTGCAATATTAGCGTATGTACTAGAGATTTATATAATAGTGGGCAGAAATCCATGTGTAGCAGGCTCTTTTTAAATGTTTAAAGCAAGCATTAACTGTGTCTCCACAAAGGACTCTCTGCCACAGGCTTTTTTAAGGAACTGTGGCTCTGTTAGAAGAGGACCTCTTCGTATATTCTGCTGATGTCTGACATGAAGAGTTAAACCATCCATCTCCATGAAGAGAGCATGTTCTTTATGTGACCCGTCTTTTCTGTGCTCTCTTTAGGGGTGACTCAGTCTATTACAGAAGGAAAGATGCTGGATGAGGTAAGTATGTGATGTTACCAACTAGTCAGAGAGACTTGGTGCCATCCAGTCAATCATAGAAGATTGATGGCACCTTTCTTCCTTACGCCAGTACACCACTTTCTACAAGTCTTCCTTGGTGAAAAATCATCAAAAGTTAAAGAAAACATAGAAATCATGTGCTTACTCTTTTATTCTAGGTTTCTAAAGAAACAATCCTTGCTCAGGGAAGAAAAAAGATTTTATGAACAAGAGTCTTCAAAACTAGTAACAGCCCTCCTGAATCTTGGCTGCATATATCTCTCTGGAAAAGTGGCTGTTCACTGTTGTTGAAAATCTCCATATTAACATGCAAATGTATCTGTTTAGAAATGAGATTCTTTCAAAAAGATGCTACACTTTATGATACTGAGAACAGTAAGAGGTAAATAAGAGTGTAGGAGGAAGAATAATTTTAGAACAAAGCCATCTAGGAGCTGTTGGTGACAGCCGATCAGACAAAATAAAATTAGTAAGCACAGTTTTAAGCTATTATGTACTATTTGGTAGGTCATTTAATTAAATGGTTTTCATTTTCAGTGACTCTTAGAAGCCTACTATGTGTCGAGCACTAGGGATATAGCTCTTCTATGGTAAGGATTCATGTTCTAGTAAGAACAGATATACAATATTAAAGTTGAATTTAAGTTATTAGTAGACACCCAAACTACAATAAAATGTTCAAATATATATAAACCAAACCTAAATCCATTCCCATGGAGTCAGTTCAGACTCACAGTAACCCATCAGGCAGTACATTCTTGTGAGTGGAGATTTATCCTTTTTTCTCTCTCAGAGTGACTAGTGAGTTCAAACCCCAGACCTTTCATTTAGCAGTTCAGCATGTAACACACTACAGTACCAGTGCTCCTTTAGATAAACGTATATCAGTAAATGTGACGAAGAAGTATCTAAGACAGTGCGCTAGCAGTTCACTGAAGATGGAAATTGGCTACTTTTGTTATGGAGGCCAGAGAAGACCTTCCTGAAGGAGTTGAACTGAAACTTAAACAATGAGAAAGAATCAGCCTTGGAAAAATAGAACAAGTTACATAGGCAAAGGAACAACAAGTGTAAAGGTTTTGAGTTAGGAGTGGTTTATTGAAGGGGTGGATAAAAAAGGTAGGTCAGTATAACTGCAGAGTAGTAATTAGTAAAGAATTTGCAGAATGTGGAGGTTAGGTAGAAAGAAGGTCACAGACAAGAGCCAGGTCAAGTAGGCCTGGTAAGTGTGGTAAGGAGTTTGGATTTTAGGAGACATGAAAGTGGTAGAAGTTGTTTGGAGATGTTGTTGTTAGGTGTCATGGAGTCCACTATGACTCAGCGACCCCGTGAACAACATACAGGAAGCTTGCCTTGTCCCGCCTCGTCACAGTCTCTCACGTGCTCAAGCCCATTGTTGCACTCACTGTCACTCCATCACATTAAGGAGCTTCCTTTCTTTCGATAACTCTCTACCCTTCCTAGATGTTGTCTATTTCCAGAGACTTGCCCCATCTCGGCAACTTGCCTGAAGTGTGTGAGACAAAATGTCACTGTCCCTGCCTCTAAGGAGCATGCTGGTTGCCCTTCCTGGGCTGGGGATAGGACTTGCTTAAGTTTACAGGATAGAATTCAAGAGAGAATAAGGATAAATTTATTTAAAACAACAACCAAAAAAAGGAAAAAAACCAAACTCCAAATGCCTTGGAAGCAACAGATGATTTAAAATCAAACAAATAAAAAAAAGAGAATAAAGGATGACTTTTGGAACCCAAGTGGGATAGTGTGTAACTTCCCCTGAGAGAGTCACTGTGAAGCAGAATCAGCTTGATGACAGTGGGTTTGATTTTTATTTTTGGTTTGGGGTTTTGGCCTGAGCACCAGGATCAATGTTATTTAAATTAGATGAGGTTTGAGAGAGGAACCAAGAGCGTGTTAGAATGTGATTGAGGCAGACATGGAACGAAGAATTCTGTTTTAGAGATTTATATTTAACAGGCATCCAGGTAGAGAGGTTAAATAGATAGTTGGACACACTGCAGAAAGCTCCAAACTATCATCAGGACTTTAAATTTGGGCGTCCTTGTTTAAATAGATGACATTTTTCATTAGGCTATTCTTAGTCATGGTACTAGGAAATGTTAAGACTTCTTTCACCTAATAACATCCTGTAGTTATGACTGTATCTTTCTTTTTCTCCCACGATGTTTTTGGCAATAGTTGTGGTCTCCCTACAATCTTGAATTTTAGTCTGAGGTGTTTCTAATCATTCTTCCCCAGATTTCTCCCCAGGGCTCACCTCCTCATTCCCTTGGTTCCTTATTCCCTTACCTTTCACAGTAATTAGTGATTATGAAATATCTGTAACTTTCTTCAGTGTGTAAAATGCATGTTCTGTCATTTTGGTCTCATTCACTGTGTAAATCTCTTAACTCAGAGAATGCCTTATTTCTTTAGTTGTAATACAAAATTGATTTAAGAGTTGAGAGATTTTTCAGTTATCATGGCAGCATTGTATTAGCAGTTTAATCTAAATGCTAAGTGAATGTTTTGAAAGGAGGTAGATGTTGAAAATTAAAATACATTAAGTCCCAGTGAGGTGAGTAACCAATTGTTAACTTCTGTCCACAAAGCTCTGCATCAGTGAGTTTTTTCAGCAGCTGAGATGCTGGTCATTTTAACCACTCTGCCATAAAGAATATATATGCATTTATGAGGCTCTCCTTGCCGGAAGGCAGGAACGTGGTGGTGGGAGTGCAGGAATCGTGGCAAGCTTTTGGAGTCGACTGCTTTTCCGGGAATGTGTTTGACGAGCAGGTTTGCTCTGTCCCTGGAGTGAGGCTAGCCAGCCTGGGCCTAGGGTTTGAACCAGGAGGCAGCCTTAAGCCCAAAGGTTCAAATTGTCTTCCTGTCAAACATTCTTCTAGGAGGTATAGCACTGGTCTGTGCGTTGCTATACAGAGGTAACTCGTGGTTGCTGTGATGCTGAAGCCTGTGACAGTGATGTGCCAATCGTGGTAATGGGCACCCATGGTGGACAGTGTTGGCAGGAGCTTCCCAACTAAATCAAGCCTGGAAGCAGGAGCGGCATCCACTTCCAAAATGGCTTGCCTCCGGAAACTCTATGTACGAACAGTGCTCAGGCTGTTCGTTCATAGGGTCGCTATGAGTCGTCTACCACTCGACGGCATTAACAACAACAACAACATATTTATATATTTATAAATATTTATATATCTTTTCAAAACTTAGTAACATTTCACCAACTCGCCTCATTGTTCTCGAGTCAAAACCAAGTTATTGCTGACCCTCCCAGGGCTTTTGGAAGCCGTAAATTGTGTGGGAGGACATTGCTTGTCTTTCTCCCTAGAGCTGCTTATGAATTTGAAACACCAGCGAGGTACCACCTTTGGGGTAGCAGTGCAGCTCCCTTCCTAGGGCACTAACCCCCTTAAATATGACATATCTGTCCCACTTCTACCAAAAGAGCCACCTTTTATGTCCCTGACTCCTGTGGTTTGGGGCTTTGTTTCTTTCAGGGTGATTTTGAAGTCAGAGGAGATGTTATCAATGGAAGAGACCACCAAGGTCCAAAGCGCGCAAGAGAGTTCCAGGACAAAAAGGTAAAGAACTCAGCCACCAGTGTTGCCAGAAATCCCATCTTATGGCTCTGTGTCCCAGCCTTCTTCATGGACATGGTCTCATTCGTCTTGTTACATATTCATTGCCAGAGCACTAGCTAGGTGCTTTCGCATAACTTCCCTTTTAGTTCCCCCAGCCCAGTAAGGTATATCTTAGCCCCATTTTATGATTGAGGGAACTGAAGGTTATAGAGGGGCTGTATAATTTAGAGGTCAGTTGGGGTTCAGATCTTAATAAGTTGCAGAGCTGGAATTTGACTATAAAGCCCTGCTCTTTCCATGTCCCGGTTGTCTTTCTCAGACTCAGTGTGCTAATATGTGGACGTAAAGCAGAGAAGGTTCTCATTAGTAACTAATGATAGCTAACATTCTGTGTTTACTGTATGCCAGGTGCTGCTCTAACCAATTAGCCGTATTTTAACTAATCAGTCATTTCACACCAGTCTTGTGAAGTGTGCTGTTTTATGACTGTTTTACAGATGAGAAAATTGAGGCTCAGGAAGTTGCTCAAGGCCACACTGTAGTGAGTGATGGAACTGAAGGTGAACCCAAGCGGTCTGGCTCTAGAGTCAGAGCTCTTTAACAAACAGCGTTTTGGAAAGTTATTGGTGGCCTCACAGACAAAAGCAGTAGCACGTTAATAACTTAGCAAATGAAGGGCTGGAGGTCCCAGAAGACTTAGTGGATTTCTTCCGGTCATGCTGCAACAGCTCCTGTCGCCCAACAGTGTCCTCTCAGGAAGAAGTGCAGGCAAGGTCATCCCCTTGCCTGTCAGGCCTGAGCAGACTGCTTCTCAGGTCACTGAGTCCCCATGGCCCAAGTCTGCAATTCCTCTTAAATGCACCGCTGGGCATTTTCAGAACATCCTCACACAGGGCACATTCTGCTTCTTGACGGAAATTTGAGAATTTGTAAAAGTGAATTTGTAAGGAAAACTGGCTTTGCGAGATGATCATAAATGAAACCCTCGAACTCAGAACCCACACCCTCTGAACCTATCCAGTAACTCTTCCAGATGCCAAGCAAAGCTGCCAGGCCTACTTCTACTCCTGCCTTCACTCCAGGGGAGCACTGTGTGAGCCTGCCATTTGTGTTTCACTCCCCTGTGTACTGGGCACATTCTTCCACCTTCAGAGAAAAGTTCAGTGCTTGGGGCTTTTTCCTGCATTCAGAACAGCAGTGATGGAAAGGCCTGGTCAGAGTTACGATGTTCTAAAGATACTAAATGTCACTTTCATATTTTCTTGTGGAAGAGAAATGTGCTCATAGAGGTGAAACTTCACATTTCTTATCTCGTAACTAGACATCCTCATCAGTGAGTGTCAGGCTGGATATAAAAACCTCTAATCCTTTGTACTTTTTATGGCAGCATTTGGCTTCTGCTAGCTGCCTGGGGAGAACGTCTAACATTATGAGCATCTAGGTCCTGTTGACAGTTTGGGGGTGCAATTTATTCATATACATAGTGAAAAGGGCTCTGATGGAGTCTGTCCCTTAAAGTAGAAACAGTCATGTCCTGCTGTCCTTTCTCAGTCCTTTAATTATTCTGATTCCTTTGGTTGAAGTGTGTGTGTACAAAGGGAGAAGGGACCATTTCCCAAAAAGCCTTCTCTGTTTTGTTTTTTTGGGTTTTTTTTAACAGAGGTTTTGGATTTCCATTCATTCATTGCCGCAATTTTCTCCCTGCCCACCCCTCCCCTCCGAAGAGAGGGAAAAAAAAAGAACATTACTTCGTTAGTATACAATTCCCACATCCCTTCCCCCCACCCTGAGTACACTTCTCTATGCAACCTTAATTCTGGATTCCTGTGCTAACCATAATACTCAATCATATATCACTTCTAATCTATTCTTTCCCTCATCTGTTTCAATACAATATACATAATTTATCCAGTTTTTTCTGTCATACCCCCACTCTGATGTCAGACCCATTCTACAACAGTGGCACCATGCAGTATTTGTCCCTTTGTGACTGAGATATTTCACTCAGCATAATGTCCTCCAGGGTCACCCACTTTGAATAATATTGCATGAGTTCCTTGTTTTTCAATGCTGCATAGTATTCCATTGTGTGGATATACCACAGCTTCTCTATCCAATCGTTTGTTGATGAGCCCTTAGGCTGCTTCCAACTCTTTGCTATTGTAAACAAAGCTGCAGTAAACATGGGTGCACATATATCTGCTTGGATGGCAGACATGGTCTCTCTTGGGTATATTCCCAGTAATGGGATTGCTGGGTCAAATGGTATCTCTATTTGCAATTTTTTGAGAAAGCGCCATACCGCCTTCCACAATGGTTGCACCATCTTACATTCCCACCAACAGTGAATAAGAGTTCCAGTTTCTCCACATCCTCGCCAGCATTTGTTGCTTGCTGCTTCTCTGTTTTTAGCATTCTGATTTTCTCTGTCCTAGTCTGTCTTATTTGAGGCCTGAAGTTCTAAAACTAGACAGTTTTCTTTTTAGTGGAATGAGGAAGATGGAAGACGGTTAAGAGAATGAAGGTTACACAGACTAATATATGAAATGGGAAGTTGTATAAGTCGGCCCAACTGGCACAAATTGGGGTTTCTTTTAAATGATGCCCAAGTTTTTTCCTAAGAATGCCAATGTTTAGACATGCCAGTGTATGTGGGGGAGTCTGCATTGTCCAGCATGGTAGCTGTCAGTCACATGGGGCTATTTAAATTTTCATTTTAAATTACAACTAAAGAAAATGAGACATTCCATTCCTCAGTCACCTTAGTTATATTTCACACACATTCAATAATCACATGGGACACATGACTACTACATAAGTTCACATATATTTCCATCATCACAGAAAGTTCGTTTAAGGCAACGCTGTGAAATTCAAACTCATGCCGTCGAGGAAGTTCCAGCTTGTAGCAGCCAGGTCACAGCAGAAGATGATCTCCTGTCTGAAGAGTTGCCCAAGTGTAGGGTGATGCTGCCCTGCTAAGCAAAAGGCTCCAGCTCCTCCTCGGAGCACTGTAAATGAACGTGGCCCCTCAGAGCTACAGCATAATCCGTAGCCACAGAGGCAGACCAGCCTAATGAGGACAAACAGAACCAGGCTTCCCTTGTGGTTTTAAAATGGTGATCTTTGTTGGAGCAGTATGATGGAAAGAACCTAACTTCAGGGGCCAAAAGAAATTCAGGAGAAAAGGAGCCTTATGTATAAAGCAAACAGACCTCTGCTATTCGGGGTCATGGTGTGGTGATGTACCAAATCGGGATAAATGTCACACTTTAGCCAGTAAGGCTTGCCATCCAAGCCTTTTCTCAAACATGAAGAAAGACTTCTTTTCCTCCCTCATTTGTCTCTTAACAAGAAGTGAAATAACTTGCCTGGGTCATCAGCAAGGACCCTGGGTCAACATGAGAAATGCTCAATCCCTACACGAATGTATAGTATAGGTAACTACAGACCTACTCCCAAACAGCTTCTGAAGTCCCAGTGTTCTGGCGTTGAATTGATTAGCTAGGAAATAGCATAAATCACTCTTCTTCCTTCCTGAGATCCTCTTGTATATTGCTTTTTAAAAATCTCATTATCTTTTTACAACAATTTTTCTCCTTCTGTCTTTTCTCTCTTGCAGATTTTCACAGGACTAGAAATCTGTTGCTATGGACCCTTTACAAACATGCCTACAGGTAAGAGACTGGAAGAACCCTATCAGACTTGCCCTAACATGGACGGAGGAGCATTGTAGAAGAGATCACCTTGCCGTGGTTTTGGTGATGTAAGGGTCCCTCAAGAGTAGTTAGATGTTCTAGAGGTTGGTCTATTTCACTACTGCCCTCCAGACAAAACGGTAGCTCACTTGTAGCCTCTTTCTCTAAAGCAAGTAGGCAATGGAGGAGGGTGTCATAGCAAAAGGGTGTGGAGCTTGATTTGATAAACATGTGCTAAAGTCAGTATAGTAGAATTGGTTATACAACTCTCTAAATATCTTAAATACACTGTATTGAACACTTTAAATGAATTAATTGCATAGTTTATGAATTCTGTAAGTAGGCAGGCAGCAAAGAGTTAAAAGATCTAGGACATTTAATGTCCTTTGTTCTAATGAAGTAGAGTACTGCAACCATTTGGTCTGAGAAAAAGTAATTAGAAGATATATTTGGTCTTGTAAACATCAAGAAAGAGCTCTGCTCTTCTTGAACCGTCTTCATTTTTTTAAAAAGTAGCAGAGCTGCTATGTAAACCCATTGAGCCTACAGCCCCTCACCGGCCCATGGTAGGGAAAGACTGTGGATGAACATTTTCTAATTAAAATTTGACACTGAATGTGATGTTATATTTAGGACTTATGTGAGGCTCCACTCCTATTTGTTTTTGTCAAAAGAAAAGCTACTTACCTTTGCTTCCTGTACCCCTCCTTCCTGCCTAGGACACAGGTCCTCTTACTCCTCAGAAGACCTTAGTACTCTGATAAAAAGAGCCTGGCAAAGTAATTTTGCTTTTGTCTTCTTTATTGGTTATTGATTGGATTTTTATGAGATTTCCAGGTGTCACTCAGCATTCTCAGTGTTTTGTACTTTGGTGTAATGAAAACCAGGGACTCTAGCCAGTGTAATTTTCAGCCAGTCCGCTCACCTGACTCACTTGGACAAAACAGAAGCACCCAGACATCCCCATAAAGGGGCTTATGGTAAACACATACATAGATGGCTTGATACACGCATCCAGAGGTCCCCTGGTCAGGTCTGCTGTTCTGGCTGCAAGTTTAACACCTCTACTCTCTCACCTGACACTCTTCCCCTAAGCATGTTAGTTCCAGCTCAGTCTGTAACCTTTCTCACTGATGTGCTGAGTCTCCATCCAATATGACGTTTATTTATTTTTTTTTACTAGATGAATTATCTCCCTGTCTCTTGACATTTACAGTAATTACCACCAAGTCTGGTGCTTTCAATGGCTGTGATTATCAATTACCAACACAGAGTTGGGGAGAGAGAGGAAAGGGAGGTGGATGCTCTTCCCCCACAGTGTTTTAGCCAGCAATTTAGCAAATTAATGGAAATTAGATTATCTTGGATTTTTTTTCTTTCAAAGGGTTTTATTTGAGAGATGATCAAATCTGATCTACCAGCAGGCCTTATGATAACCAGCGTAGGTGACATTTCAGTGGCACATTGACTTAGAATCCATGTAACTAGTATGGGTTATAGTTTGAGGCCCTTCTGTCCCTTTGGAGCGGAAGAGATGGGACTTCTGCTACTGAGTATAGGGTGGAGGGCCCAGGTTATGTGTGTAGCCTATTGTGATAATTGTAGGTTTCAATGTCTTATTTAGACCAGCTAGAGTGGATGGTACAGCTGTGTGGAGCTTCTGTTGTGAAGGAGCCTTCATTATTCACCCTTGACAAGGTAAGTGTTTGGTACTCTGTTAAGAATTGTTGTTATGTGTTATCCATTCAGCTTCAACTGATAGTGACTCTGAACAATAATCTCCACCTGTACATTTCTATAATACTGTTCTTTGTCTTCTCAAGCTACCTTTTGAAATCTTCTGTTTATCTCTTATTTCAGTTCATTCTCTTGCTTTGCTTCTCTGTAAATGAAGAGCAAATTTCAGTCTCTTCTGACATCTGGCTTTTTGTTGGTTTGCTTTTTTTTAATGGGGCGCTTTACAAATTTACATGTCATCCTTGCACAGGGGTCATGCTAATCTTCTCTGTCATTCCAGTTTTATTATATGTGCTGCTGAAGTGAGCACCTGACATCTATTTTGCTCATTTCTTTTCCTTCCTAACTTTAAAGCTCTTTTGCACTGTTCTTGGTGTCCTTGATGTCATCCCACAACTTGTCTTTGGTCATTACTGTTGAGTGCATCAAATCTGTTCTTGAGATAGATGGCTTTTTCATTCAGGTGGAATAAAACTCAAGATCATATTTTTACTCTCCTGGACTTGTTTGCGTTTTCTTCAACTTCAATTTGAAGTTGTGTGTACGTAGTTAATGGTCTGTCCCACCATCAGTCACTGGCCTTGGTTTGACTGCTCATACTGAACTTCTTTACCGTCTCTTTCCAGAAATAGTCAATCTGATTCCTGTGTAGGCTGTCAGATGAGGTCCATGTGTGTAGTTGTCATTTATGTCTTTTTAAAAAGATAACTTGCCATTAATGAATCACTGATTGTACAAAATTGTATGTTCGATCACTTTCAGACTGCCAAAGTTGTTAGAAATTCTTGTTTTTTTCATCTTTGACTAAAGATATATTTGAATAATAGTTGTATTAACACGTCTTTCCTTCTGTGCATAGGGATAGTATCCTGTCACATTTGGCTTCAGGATTGATCTTGAAATATACTTTTTGATGATGCATGTGATACCATTCCTCATTTCCCATACCAGTCCATGCCAGCTCACTAATGCCTAGGAAGTCAGTCTTTATGCATTCTATTTCATTTTGACAACTTCGGTTTTCCTAGAATCATACTGTATACATTCCATGCTCCATTTATTAATGGATCTTTGTAGCTGTTTCTCCTCCTTTTGAGTCTTGCCACATTAGCAAATAATCAGGAAATAATTGCTTCTTTGGGCGAAAGCTTTACTCCACGTGTGGCATTAAGATAGACTTCTACTCTGGGAAGGCAGCTCTTCTAGTTACCTTTTTAGTGCCTTCCAGCTAGAGGGGCTCGTTTTCCACTAGTGATCTACTGCTGTTGAAGAGCCTGTTACATGCACACCCATGTTTATCGCAGCTCTGTTCACAATAGCAAAGAGTTGGAAGCAACCCAAGTGCCCATCAACAAACAAATGGATAGAGAAGCTGTGGTATATTCACACAATGGAATACTACACTGCATTGAAAAATAAGGAACTCATGCAATATTATTCAAAATGGGTGACCCTGGAGGACATTATGCTGAGTGAAGTATCTCGGTCACAAAAGGACAAATACTGCATAGTGCCACTGTTGTAAAACAGGATTGACATTGGGGTTTGGGGGAGACTGAGAAAGATGGGTTCAATAATGTACACTGCATTGAAACAGGTGAGGGAGAAAACTGTTTAAAAAGGATATGTGATTCGGTATTTTTGTCATGACAGGAGTCCAGAGCGAAGGCTGCTTAGTGGGGTGGACCTGGGGGGAGGTTTTGTAAAACAATGAAAGAATTTTTCTTTTATTTTTCCAAGAGGGTAGTGTACTGGGGGGAGGGTTGGGAGGGGAGAAAAGTGTTACAATGAATGAATGGAAATCCAGAGTCTCTGTAATTTTCATTGAAATTAATAGTAAGTTTAAAAGGAAAAAAATGTAAAAAAAAAAAAAAAGAGCCTGTTACTCAGAAGGGAATGGCTGGGCCTGCTTCTGAGTCTGTCAGCTGTGCTGGAACTCGGCCACCGTGGACAATCTCCTCCTACCAGGATTTGAAGTACTTGTGGTGTAGCTTCCAGCATCATAGAAATTCACATTCCACCCGAGTACAACAAACTAACAAATGAGTGGTGATGTAATGTGACAGAAAAGGAAGAAATATAGACATTTCTAGAAAAAACCCAGAATCATTGGTCACAGGAGTTAACAAGCAGGCTAGTGCCTAAAATACAATTAAGAAGAACCTCTTGCATGATTCTCCATAGAACAAAAATTACATTTAAAAGGTGATATCATCTGCTTCTGAAATAGCTTGCCTCCGGAAACCCTATGAACCTGGAGAAATGATGAAAGTTCTACAAGTGTTCAGAGCTTTCATTCATAGGGTTACTATGAGTTGCCTACAACTCGATGGCACTTAACAACAACATCGTGTCTCCTTACATACAGAGAAGGATCATAGAGGCCTCTTTTTTTGAAGCTCCCTGTAAGCAGGTATAAAAATGTGTAAAGACTGTATTAGCAAAGAGCTAACCTTATCCAAGGGACATTGGTGGTTCACTGGTAGAATTCTTACCTTCCAAAGGACATTGGTTCCTCAATAGTAAGATACAATGTTTCTCTCTTGTGATTAAAAAGAAAATAAAGCAGGAAAATACCCAGGAAATAATTGCTTCATTGGGTGAAAGTTTTACTCCATGCATATCGCTAAGGTAGGCTCTACTCTGAGGAGGCATCTCTTCTCCAATTGTGCTTTGAATCATCAGTCCCTGAGGACCCCTTAATGTAACCTCTGAAGTCTCCTTTCGGTGAGCTCTGGTGGCCTAGCGGCAGAAAGCTACACTGCAATCTCAGAGATAAGTGGTTCAAGTCCACCAGATGCTCTGCTGGGGAAGGAAGGACAGTCTCCTCCTGTACATTCAGATCCATGTCAGATCCAATTTGATGGTACATACACAAAATTATTTAAAGTCTCCTTTCATCCTCAAGCTTCTCTAACCATGTACTTATGCCAAAAACTCCCTTCTCTTAGTCATGGTGAAGTAATTGGGCACGACAAGATATTTCCTATTCTAAAGGAAGGCTTTTTACCCCACACTTTCTGCCTCCTTTATGTGGCTGTCCCTTCATTAGTCTTCACAAATCATCAAGTAATGGTGAAGTCCCAAAGAGTCCACAAGAAAACTTGAAGCTAGTAGAGTATTTATTTTAAAAAAACTGAAGATATTTTTTTCCATTATAGCACATTTTATTCCCCCTCCCCCAGCCCTCCTCATAATGCACCCTTTGTTCCAGATTGTTATCATACATGTTGTCATGTACCTTTGAGTCGGAACTGACCCATAGATGACCCTCCAGTGAGTTTCCAGAGATAGTTAACACATGGAAGGAGATTGCCCATCTTTCTCCCATGGAGCAGCATCTGGTTGCCTCAAACTGCATGCCTTTGGGATTGTAGCACAGCTTCTTGCCACTAGGCCACCTGAGCTCCCTGTCATACATATAATGTCTAGCCAAATACTCCTTTCAGACAGTTCTTTCCCTCATCTGATCTAATGCACAGTGTTCATTTTCTGCCCACTCTTTTCCCGTTCTCTTCCCAACCCCATCATGTCTGTCCTATTTTATAATAGCAGTGTTATGCAGTATTTATCCTTTTGTGACTGAGATATTTCACTCACCTTAATGTCCTCTAGGTTCCCCCTTGTTCTGTAATATTTGATGAGTTTATTGTTTTTCAGTGCTTTGTAATACTACATTATATGAATGTACCATAGTTTTTTCTTTCCATTCATTTATGATGAGCTCTTGTGTTGCTTCCATCTCTTTGCTATTGTGAATAATGCAGCAATAAACATGGATGTGCATACATCTGTTTGAGTCTGGTTTCTTTAGGGTATAGTCCCAGTAATGATATTGCTATAGCATTTCTATTTCTAACTTTTTGAGAAAGTGCCAGACCACCTTCCAAAGTGGTACACCATTTTACATTCCCACCCACAGTGAATAAGAGTTCCAGTCTCTCTACACCCTTGCTAGCATTTGTTGTTTGCTGCCCTGTTGAACTTTGCTGTTTTTGCTGGGGTGAGATGTTAGCTCATAATTGTTTTGATCTGCATCTGATAGGTAGGGATTTTGAACATTTTTTCATGTGGGTTTTTTTTGCCATTTGAATGCTGTCTTTGGTGAAATGTCTTCATATCTTGTGCCCATTTTGTGATTGGGTGGTTGAGGGGCTGGAGTAGTCTATAAATTTTAGATGTAAGTCCATTATCAGATATGTCGTTGCCAAATATTTTTTTCCCAGTCTGTGCATTTCCTTCTTACCTTGTTGGAGAAGTTTTCTGATGTGCATAGGGATTTGATTCTTAGAAGGTCCCATTCATTCTTTCCTAGTTATAGGTAGTAATTTAGAAAATTGTAGGATACAAGGTCAACATACAACAATTACTTCGACCTCTATATACTAGTGCTGAGAAATCTGAAAAAGAAATTATGGAAATAGTCCCCTTTATAGTAACGTCTAAGAGAATGAAAACCTTCAGAATAAATCTAACCAAGGACATGAAATATTTATACAATAAAAACTATAAAATACTGCTGAAAGTTATTTAAAAAGACAAAACTGATGGAAGATTGAAATTGAGTTGACAGCACTGAGTTTTTTAAATAAATAGAAATATATTTCATGTTCTTTGGAAGACTGAATATGAAGACTTTAGTATTCCCCAAAACAATCTGTATATTCACTGCTTGCTTTTATGTGCCATTAAGTGGAAACCAACTCATAGCCGACGCTCCAGTGAGCTCTCAGAGGTTGTAAATTGCACAGTAAATTGGCCATCTTTCTCCTATGGAGCAGTTGGTGGATTTGAACTCAATGCCTTTTTGTTGGCAACACAACTCCTTACCACTAAGCCACTAGAGCTCCCCAAATTCAGTGCAATCCTAGTCAAAACTGCAATAGACTTCTTTATAGATATGGGAATACCAGTCCTCAGTTTTATATAGAATGGTACAATGCCCCAAATAGCCAAAGCAGTGTTCAAAGAGAAGAGCAAAATAGGAAGACTTACATTTAATACTTAAAGAGTAGGAAGGAGAATATGGCATTTGTGGCTAATTGCTTCCATGAATTACTACCATTGTCCTGAGACTAGAAGAACCAGATAGCTATTGTCATTGAATATTTTGCTCAAAGAGTCCATAGAAGAATATTAATCAAAAGAGGGGAAATGTAGAACAGAAATTTATATAGACTCTGGACTTTCTGGAGCCATGAAGTTTGTATGAATCCCTGGAACTATTTGCCCTGAGATAATTTTTAAAACTTAAACCAAAAATACATCCTGAAATCATCTTAAAACTAAATAATAATTGTTGGTTTGATGGCATTTAACAACAAGAATGGCAGCAGTTCTAAAGGTAAAACAACAACACCAAAAACCAAATAATAGCTTGGCTAAAGTAGTGAAAAAATTTGCTTTGATCATCATACTCTTAAGAACTATTATGTAGGATCAAGCTAACAGTAGAAACTCATGAAACAACATAGAAAACTTAGCAGTGATTTTGTGTTAAGGAAGGAGGAGCAACTCCAAAAAGGAGAGTATGTTTACACAACTTGGAAAAAATGTAATCAATGTACTAAATTGTACATTAAAAAAACAACAAAACACTATTGGTTTGTGCTCACTTCGGCAGCACATTGGAATAAAATTGGAATAATACAGAGAAGACTAGCATGGCCCCTGCAGAAGAATGACACGCAAATTCATAAAGTGTTCCATATTTCAAAAAATTAAAACCTCTTGGTTTGATGTATGTTTTACTGTGTATATTCTTAACAACAAATGGAATAAAATATAGAAGAAAAAAATGGTGAAATGAATCTTTTCTTCTGTGACACCCTCAATTCTGTTTCTTCTCTGGAGATGCAGGATTCTCACTGTATTGTGGTCATACAGCCAGACGCCTGGACAGAGGACTATGGCTTTGATGGTAAGGTGCCTTTACATGTCTCATAATATCCTGTTGAGTTGATACCACCACTTACCCGATGCTTGACCAGCACAGTGTAGACACATTCTACGTGTTCAGTAAATATTCTGTGAAAGAATGTCTAAAATATCTTTCTATCTAAAATAACTTCCTGTCATTTGTTTTGTATGATAAAAGGAACACGTAAGAAATTTCCATTGCAATAGGAGTGCTTAAATGTGAATGTTTAATCCCAGTAATCCCACTACTTGGAGATGAATCACCATAAAATCTGTCAAGGCGTATGTGCATGTGTACATATGTTTACGTTGTGCACTGTGGAGCTAGAACCGACCCATAGCTGACCCTCCTGCAGGTTTTCAGAGGCAGTAAATCCCACAGGAGATTGTCCATTTTTCTCCCACTGAGCAGCTGGGGAATTCAAACCACGTATCCCTGTGTTGACAGTGCAATTCCTTAGCACAAATCCACAGAGCTCCCCTATGTGTGTATATACACATATATTTTAAACCAATAGAGTCATGCCCATTATACTGTTTTGCTTTTTCACTTAAGGTACTGCAAACATTTTTCCACATCATTACATCGCCATGCTGTTTTGCTCTCTGGTGGTTTTCCAGATTGAAACTCATGTTAAGTCTCAGACAGTAGCAGCCTCTCCTCAAGTTTCTAAAGTCCTCTATCCTCAAGATTTGCTTTAAGATCAGTAATTCTGCTTCAATTAACCCAAAAACTCATACAGTCTAGTTCCTGGAATTGGTTGATGAGTTTGCTGTGGGGAAATGTGACTTGACATTTGTTTTTGCTGTGTTCTCTGTTCCTAGCTATTGAGCAGCTGTGTAAAGCACCTGTCGTGACCCGGGAGTGGGTGTTGGACAGCGTAGCCCTCTACCAACTCCAGGAGCTTGAAACCTACCTGATACAGGTCCCAGAAAGCCAACACTGATTTCAACTGGCCCCGTGAAAAGAGCCTATCTCCCTGGGACCCCAAAAGAATAGCTGAAGGAATGACCTTTCCAGGCCTTCAGAGCACCTATCTTTAGTGCTTCCACAGTCCTGCTTACTGAATATTTTATGTAGCTCAGAAAACTTCTGGCTATGTGAGGGTCCCTTAAATATTTTCTGCTTCAAGTCTCTCCTTGGAATCAGTGATAAGTGCAAAATTGTGGTAATTTTTCATCTGAAGATTTAAAACTCTTTAAACCCCACCAGTTGAGCAAGATGCTGATTCATTATTTATCAGCCCTGTTCCTGGTACTGGGGCTGTTGGGAATCGTAGTTGGCTTAGGGCTTGTCGACACAGAATGGTTTGGCCTCTGGAGAATAGAACTGATTTCCTAGTTTGTTTCTCCAGAACCCCATGAGTGTAGAGGCTAAGAGACCTTCAACAGAAGGAGAGTGCTAGGGATATGTGATATAACTTAAATCAGAATAATCCTCAAGCAGCTTTCAGTGTTTAGGGACAGAATTCAGAGGCATACAGTGGATATGAATAGGAAATGAGGGTTAATTATAGGGTCTGGGAGTCATGCTGACTCCGGTCACCTCCACAAGTCTGGACTGTAGCTGCTGAGTTTTTAAAGAATCCCTTAGCCATGGTGTGCTCTGAAACAGCAGAATCATTTAAAAAACCTGTGTCCGGAGAGTCTTCTAATTCCCCGTTAATAAAAAAATATTTGTTGTTATAGCCCTGATACATAACCAAGGTCTCTAATATGAATATTTCATGGCTGTAAAATGATGGATCCCACCAGGAAAGGAACAGTTGCTTTCCTTGAGGAAATTTTTTTTCCCTCTGCTCCCTGTTGCTGAAGCATACAGCTTCATAAATAATTTTACTTGCTGAAGGAAGAGAAAGTGTTTTTCATAAACTCATTATCTGGAACCATTTATAGCTGTTGGAAGAAGTCAGTCTTCCTTAGCCCCCAGTGTGTGAGGGCAGTGTGGACTTGATTGTACAAAATGTGTTTTGTGAATGTTATTCTGCTCACCTGCAAATAAACCTGGTAGCGGACACTTCCACTGAGCATCACTGTTGTTGTGATTTATGCCTGCGGGCTTTCTCAGAGCCTTTTCACTGTGTTTCAGTCTCCTCATCTGTAAAATGGGTATGATGATAATAGTACCTTGTCACCTAGGGTTGCTGAAACAATATGAGGTTTCTCTTGCTTCCAAAACAAATTGTCACACATTTAATTACTTCAAACAACACCCATTTGTCATCTCATTGTTTTATAGCTCAGAAGTCAGAGTCAGTTCAGTTGGTTTCTTTCTTATTTCTCAGCAAACTGGTTTTTTTCCAAAAAAAAATTGAAGGATGAACTTACTTCCAGTCTAGTTCAGACTGTTGTCTTGATTCAGTTCTTTGCTGAGGTAGGACTAATCCCATTTGTGTGCTGGCTGTCAGCCGGAGGTCATTGTCAGCTTCAACCTACCTCCATCTTCAATGCCAGGTCAAGTCTCACATTTTTAATCTCTCTAACCTCCCTTTCTGCCTCATCTCTCTTGACTTCAGCATGTCTAATTCCCACCAGAGAGATTTCCAGGGCTCTTGTGACCAGATTGGGCCCACTGATAGTCTGGGTTAATCTCTCCATCTCAAAGACTCTGACCTTAATTACAGCTGCAGAGCCCCTTCATAGCAGTTCCTAGACTGGTGTTGTTTGAATAACCCAGAGTACAGGATTCTAGAGAAGGGCTCTTTAGAATTCTGCTTGTCACACCTATTTCAAATGCTTAATCACAGATGATGCTGTATTGTCATTACTTGGTCCTCACACTGCCCTGAAATTGGAATCCTCTTAGAGGCAAAGAGAATGAAATCATCTCACAATTCAGTACTGCCATTTGCAGGAGAGTGACAGTGAGGGAAGAATAAGGGAAATAGAGCTATTTCCACTGCCACCATTTGTAGTGCCTTTATCTCATTTAATCTTCATCACAGCTCTACAAGTAGGTATTTATCACCTCATTTGAAAAACGAGAACTGAGGATCAAACTCCTTTCTTTTTAAGTTTGTCCATCTAATAACAGAGATCAAGGGCCTGTGCCCTTGCCAGCTCATCATTCATTCAGCTTTCCACCTGTGTCAGTGACTAACTGACAGGACAGAGGCAACAGTTCAAGTCTTCAGGGAATCTGGGGAGAGGAGATGGTTGTGAAGGGGACCAGCACCTCACTTGCATTTTGTGAAAGGCAGCGGAGAGGGCTTCTACCTCCAAATGGCGCCTCTCCTGGGGAAATCAGCTTTGATGTCAGGCAAAGGGTGTATGGGATCAGGTCATGGCTATTTTAATTTCTGTTCCCATTCCTCCTACAACTTGATGATTGTGCATCTTTCAGCTGCTGAGCCTTCTGGTTCAGCATGTCCCTTCTAGAACCCATGCCAGTTCCCCAGTTACCTGCCATGGGAACAAAGGGTCTTGGCAGCAGCAGTAAAGGCAAACAGGAAGCAGCTGAACTGCTAGGGTCTGGAGATGAGTCAGGTCTCAACCTGCCTTCCCCCATCACTGATGGGTTAATAGAAAAATGCAACATCCACTTCTATTAGCTACCTTTCCAGAAATCCTGGGCGGAAGCAGAGGTAGTTAAACCACATTGGAAAGTTTTCCGTCATTGTCCCTCAAGGTCTTCCAGCAAATTCATGTCCCGTTTTGAGCTCTGCATAACCTTTCTGGAAAGTCAACTTCTGGCCCTGGCCTCATACTGCCTGGCCTGGTTTAACAGTCTTATCTGATGAGGGAGCAAATCTACTTGTTTCTTTGACCTCTGGCTTTAATATTCCATCCACTTTCCCACCCCACAATCTTTTGCCCTCTCTGGGCGCAGTTCCTGGGAACGAGTTCCACTGCTGACATTATCTCCTTTCACAAAACTGAACTGCAAAGGAACTGGGGAAAGGGAGAAGGAGAGGAGGAAGGATTTTCATCTTGCAGGCTCAGGGAGGGGACCTACAGAAGAGCTCCAGCCGATTATCTAGCTTCTAAAAAATGCAGCCAGAATCGTCAACAAAGTCCAAAACATGCTGGAGAAAAAGAAAGGAATCAGTGTTGGGGTGCTTGGAGCGGAAGGAGCCAAGCTGCCCAGAATGTATCCTGTAAAGGCTGTGAGGAGCAGATAAGGGCAGCCCCAGAGGCAGGCAGTGCAGAGAGCAGCAGAGTGAGAGCAACTGCAGATCTGCCCGCAGAAACCCGGTGAGAATGAGAACCACTACCCTCCAACTCCAGCTTGCTATCAGCTGTGAAAAGGCTGAGCCAGAGGCCCCTTTGCCGCACTTCAGTGAGGCTCAGCTCCACAAACAGCCCTCACATGGCCTGTGCATCTGCCCACAACAAGGAGAAAATTAAAGAAATTAATCTAACCAAATAGGAAATTAAACAACTGGAGGCAGAGAGCAAGAGTAGAGGAAGCTGATCCAGGGACAAGTCCACACAATTGGAAAAATCCAAGGAAAGCTTTAAGGAGCTAGGAGGAACCAGGAGAATTTTAGAGACTGGCTCCCCACATTATGGTAGCAGGGGGTACAAGAACTTTGGAAACAGTTTTAGGGACGTGGAATAATAGCAGCTTAACACCCAGCTTAACACTTCAGTCCAGGGTTCTCAAAGCATGGACCTTTGCCAGAGGCAGTAGCATTTCCCTGGACAGTGTCAGATAACCGTATCCCAAGGCCTTACTTTAGACCCTCATATTGCCCTGTGAAATGAGAACGGACTCATAGCTAACACCCCAGATGCTTTCTGAGCATGGGAAGAGATTGTCCAGCTTCCTCCTCGGAGTTGCTGGTAGATTAGAATTGCCAGAAAGGTGTCTCTTTTGAGTTAGCGGGACAGACACCAGATCAAATTCTGACAGCGTCAGTTGATGATTCTGTTACATGCTCAGATTTGAGAACTACTGATCCAATGAAGGAGGCTTCTAATTGATACAAATTGTTACCTGTAGGTCTGTTTTGTCTCTAGGAGGGGTGAATTTTGGTCCATTTAGGAAAAGGAAGGCTTGTGTGCTGGTAAGTGGTTCTTATCTACAAGGTTACAGCAGCTGGCTTCAGTTAACTCTGAAATGGTTCTTTAAGCAAATACAAAGCAAAGGACAAAGATTAAATTATATTACCAACCTAGGAGCAGAAGGGCCAGACTGCTTAAAAATACCAGCTAGAGGTTTAGGAGGTTTTATTAATATTTAAATTGCAGTGAAACCACAGCTGCAGCCTTTGACTCCAGCATAGAGATATGCAAATGTGGCTTTCAAAAGAAAGGCAATTTCAGACAGCCCTCAAGGTAACAAGAACAAATAAAACAAATGATTTTGTAATTTATCTTTATTGACTGATGGCATCCAAGGCACCGCCAGCCCATCCCCAGTGAACAGACAGCAGCGCTCTCTGAGGGAAGAGGAGAAAGCAGCCCGGAGGGAGAAAAGGAGGCTGGCAGGCCAATCGACTGGTGACAGGAAAGTCCCAGGGAAGACAAAACAGGAGGCAGATGGGCGGGGAAGATGACTAAATTAAGAGGAAAGAGGGAATGGAAACCCAATCCTGGACCAGCTGATCTTACCAGCCCTCAGGAGCAAGACAGTGTAATCAGTACTGGCTGCCCTTTAATGCCACCCTCCTACTAAGTGTGACGCAGGGTTCCTCACGTGGAAAGAGGAAAGTGAAGAGGAGAGGTCAGTTTGCCCAAAGTCATGCCACCAAAGGATGTGACAGAGCCTCTGGGATTCAAACAAAGATCTGTGTGAGGCTAGAAGCCTGTGCTCTTTCCAATGCATTGTGTTGGGAATCCCCTGTCCTGGGAGACGCTGAATAACAAGGGTAAGGATGGAGAGGCCACAATATGCCCAGTCTGGTACTCTGGGTGAGTAAAGAAAAGACTCACTTCCAGCTTCCAGAGTGCTTACTAATCAGTAAGTGAGGCAAGAAAATTCTTGCAGAATTGTGGTTCAGAA